AACTCGCGTCAAATTTCAGACTGGGTCTCGTAATTGTCCTGGCGGCCCCGTCAGGCCAACACGATTCCTTACCTATAAGACCACCTTTCGGGTGAGAAGGAGGTTGTGGGGGCGGGAGAGGGGGGAGCTAATCTCTGACTCAATCGATCTCACTATCGATCTCACTCAACGGGACACCACGGGATACTTGTCGATCTCACTATTGATCTCACTCAACGGGACACCACGGGACACCGCGGGACACCTCTCGATTTCACTATCGGTCTCACTATCGATCTCATTATCGATCTCACTCAACGGGACACCACGGGCACCACGGGACACTTGTCGATCTCACGATCGATCTCACTATCGATCTCAATGTTTGGGACACCACGGGACACCTCGGTGCACCTCATCGATCTCAGTATCGATCTCACTATCAATCGCACTATGGACCTCACTCAACGGGACACCACGGGACACCTGTCGATCTCAGTATCGATCTCACTAGCGATTTCACTTTTTGGGACACCACGGGACACCTTTGGGCACCACATCGATCTCAGTATCGATTTCACTAACGATGTCACTAACCATCTCACTATCGGTCGCACTATCGATCTCACTCAACGGGACACCACGGAACACCACGGGACACGCGGGACATTGCGAGCCACCGCCGGACGGGGGAGAATAATTTGTCTTGACTTCGCCCGAGCAACGGCGGACACCACGGGACACTGCGGGACCTGAGCCACCGCCGCACGGAGGAGAAACAGTTGTCTTGACTTCGCCCTAGCAACGGCGGGTTCATTTCTCTCGCGCACCCACGCATCTTCGCCTCGCCCGCACGCACGACACGAACGAATCGAAACGATTTCCCGGTGGGGGGTCTCCGTTGCACTGCGATCTCACCCCTCAACCTCCGATGTCTACCCGATTTCGCCGCGCCCGCCGCGGCGCCAGGCTGGGCCCCCCTATTCCCAAGCTTCCTTCGCGTCGTGGGAAAGCCACGGGGGCCCTCGCCGTGCCCCGGGACCGTCAAGGAGCGGTTCAGGAGGAGAAGCTGGTCTGGGGAGTGGGTCGAGGCATTCCACGTCCTGTTTTCAGCATGCTCGTCCTCCTCCTCCCCCTCCCCCTCCTCCTCCTCCTCCTCCTCCTCCTCCTCCTCCTCCTCCTCCTCCTCCTCCTCCTCCTCCTCCTCCGTCCTTCTCCTCCTCCTTCTCCCCCTCCTTCCCCTCCCCCTCCTCTGTGGCCCCCCCCCGCCCCGCCCAGATGTGCAACACGGCGTTGGATGTTTCTGGGCGCCTGGGGGGGCCTTCAGGTGCCCTCGTGGCGCCACGCCTGGCTTCCCCACGCCAGATGCTGGTCGGAGCGCGCCGCTAAAGTCCCGGGGCCGAGACCCCGATCACCCCAGGAGCGATGCAAGGTCTTTGCCAGTTCTCGTTTTCTGGGGGGCACACGCGGGCCCCGGGGCGGTGACGCCAAAAACTCCCCCAACCCTCCCCCCCTATTCGGGCGGTCGCAAACATGGATTACGGGGGCGTGGATTAGCGACGGGTCCCGTTTCCATCGGAAATCACTGATTTCCGCAACCGAGCCAGGCGGCACCGGCCGCACTTTGGGGAGGGCACCTCCCCCGGCCCATGGATCTGGCGACCGCGCGCCAGATCCATGGATCGCTAATCCATGGTTGCGCGCCCCCGACCTTCTCTTGGCATCGGAGTGGGTGGGGATCGCGCCAGCGTGACCGTGGGGCGGCGCTCCTCCTGGGCAGGCGCTACGTGCGCAAGGCCCCCAACGACTGGATCACCTCCTCCAGGAGGTCAGCTCTGCTGGCCTAGCGCGCGCTGGGCGCCCCGCGCGGCTGGCCGCCCGTGGAGGGAGCGGCCGGCCGCGTTCCCCGCCGCGTTGCGCGCTTGGCGAGACCGCCGGCGACCGAGGCGACCGGGCTGGCCGGCCGCGCGCGACCGGCTGCGCGGGCCCCTGCGCTCGGAGGAGGTCCACTCCAGACCACGGCGGCCTTTCCTGGCCACGTCGTTTTTGGGCATCCCGGAACTTCTTGTCGCTCTGACGGGGATCCGCCCCGAAAAGCAGGCCGGGGTGGACCCCCAGAGGGGTGCGGGGATCGATCTTGAGCGGACCTGGGTCGGCCGGGAGAGCCGCCTGGCCCTGCTCCGACCCGCGTGGCTTCCGCCGGGACGGACCCTGCCAAACATGCCCTCGCAAGGGATCGGCAGTGGCAAAATATACTGGGAGGGGGAAGGGGTCAGGCCGCCGTTGCGATCGGGGGCGGCAAAGAGGGGGTGATGATTAGGGGGGGTGGATATCATGGCGTGGGCCATGATATCTCCCCAGATCCCATGGCGCCTCTTATTTCATTACGTCCCTGGCCCCCCCGTGGGCCGCGCACATGCCGCCGGCCATGATTTGCACCCCCCCTCTTGGACGCCTCCCTCTTGGTCGCCGCCGTTGCGAATCCGTCAGCATGTTGCTGCTGTTTTGTTTGTCCAAAGGCCTTGCGTGTCTTCAAAGGTAGCATGTTGATGTATTGCCCACGGTGGCGTGTCATTGATATTTTGTCTCCCAGTGGGGGAGGGGGAGGGAAAGGTATTTGAGCGCGTTTCGCTGCTGTTGTGCCTCGGCAGGAGAGGAGGATGCTCGCCCCCACGGCTGGATCTGCTTCGAGATCCTGGTCGGAGAGCGCTCCTGCCGATGTCATGGGGTTCTGAGGGGGGAGGAGAGGAGGCGAGAAAGGAGGAAGAGATAGGATGTAGGAGGAGGAGGAGGAGGAGGAGGAGGAGGTGGAGAAGAGGTAGAAAGCGGGGGGGGGGAAGGAGTGAGCCGGGGAGGTCATGGCCACCTCGTCAAAAAGCATGTCCGCATTAAGCCATGCTGGCGTGTTGCTTAGGACGTCAAAGTGCACCGTGTGGGCACAGCCATGCCGTTCGTGCCTTATTTGATTCGTTGTGGCGAGTTTCATTCGGTGGTGTTTGGCTCTTCTCAGACACCACTCCTCCATCCTCAGACCTCGGGCGTCTGGAAGAGACCAAGTCGGAGGGGTGTCTTTATCGTCATCCCCCTCGGGGGTCCCAGTCGGGGGGGCGTCCATTGGGGTGGGGGCAGAGGTGAGGCCAACGGCTGGAGGAAAAACGGTCTACGGCCCCTTGAAGGGTGAGATGTGCGCGAGCATCCAGCCGGGTTCACTCCCGAACCCCACCCTTGGGATAGCCCCCCTCTGCAGCGGGTGATTGCATGATGGGTGGAAGCTATGTGGCGCAAACTATGTTTTGTGAGCTTCGCGGTGGAAGCTATGGTGTGCAAGCTATGCGGTGTAAGTTAACCTCAGAGGGTTTTTAGTGTTGGTCCTGGCGGGGAATGGGACTGGTCCTAAAGCCTCCTCGTCGCGGCGGGGAGTATTTTCCCTCTATTGTGGGGCGGGCTGGATAATGTTGGGTTTTTTGTTTTCTAAGTGAATAATACTCTCTGGACAACCCTGCACCACAGAGGAATGTTGACAACGTTTGTAAGAGGATTGCAATATAGATCGACATATTCTTCGCAGAGGGCGTTGCTCTGAGGGCTCGCGCGGGGCCTGAGCTTCAACAGTCCTTCTCAGGATGAAGCTTCCAGGATAAATGTTCTGAAGATCTTGTATCTGGGCCAAGTTTTTTCTGAGAGCACCCCTGAGGCATTTTAACTAGTAGTCGTCGTAGTCGCAGTCGCAATCGTAGCCGTAGCTGCTGTCGGCGTCGTTGTTGCGCGGCGGGTGCCGCGGGGAAAAACCATGTGTTTCCCTCATGGGTGTCACACCAATCCGTGAATGAGGCAGCCGAAACATTAAACACCTTGTTTGGGGGGTCTCAAGACCCTTACTAGTTATGCTGTGCAAGCTGTGTGGTATGAGCAATGTGGTGAAAGCTTTGGTTCGCAAGATGTGTGCTGTACTCTGTGCTGTGGCGGTGTAAGCTATGTGGTGCAAGCCAAACGGGTGCAAGCGATGTTGCGTAATTCTGTGGCGTGATCTGTGCTCTGCGGGCCGTGCGGTGTGCGCGCCGCTGTGCAGCTCGTGCTGTGAGCGCACGGGGCGCGCACGGGCCGCCCTCGAGCGGGCACGGGGCGCCACCGCGGCGAGATCTCGGGAAGACCCTCCAGCGCACGGGGCGCCCTCGGGCGGGCACGGGGCGCCCACGGGGCGCGCACGAGCGCGCAAAGGCGGGCCCGTCGAGGCGAGACCTCGGGGAGCCGGCCTTGCTCGCTGGGCGCCCACGAGGCGACGAGCGGGCACGGGCGCCTGGGAAACGCCCCCCCGCGCATGGGGCGCCCACGAGCCAGCACGGGCGCCAACTGTGCGCGAGCCCAGGAGAGCCATCCAACTGTTCGAGCAGCAGGAGTACGAACCCCGAAGTGCAAGCGTTGTTTCGGCGAACCTCCTGGGTCCCGTGGGTTTCTTGGATACGCGCTGGACTCCCTGGCGCGTGGAGCGCGCCAAGGGCGGCGCTGGGGGCACCCCCAGCGGCCCAGCGCCATTCAAAGAATCCGCGCGAACCTCCGAAAGCGAATGGTTATGTGGTTTTCGTTTCCCTACAGATGGGGTCGAAGGGTCGCACTACATCGCCCATGCATCGGCGATGCGGCTCGATTTTGCATCCCGATCTTCTCCACGTCAACGGCCCCGATGCATCGCCGGCGTCGCCGATGCATCGGCGATGCATCGGCGATGCGGCCCGATCCTCCCATCCATCTACTCGGACTCCATTTTGCGGGGGGCGTTGGGCGATGGGGTGGCTGGAAAGGTTCTTGAGCATCTGAGGCTCCTGACAGGGCTCCTTGGAAGATATCGCAGGCTTCCATCCCCAGGGTTCTCATCAGGCAGGAGACAGGGCTCCTTGGAAGATATCGCAGGCTTCCATCCCCAGGGTTCTCATCAGGCAGGAGAGGCTCTGAGAAGTCCTTCCGTGCGCGCCGCCGAGAGAGCAAGGGAAGGGAGGATGCGAGGCGCCCGCTGGGAATGGCAGGCCGCGGAGAGGGAGCCCGTGCACTTCGAGAAGTTCAACCGCGAATGGCAGCAGATGGCGGAGCAGGAAGCACGCGCGCCCCCCCCCCCCCCCGGCCTCGCCATTCTGGTCTGACCCACACGCCGCGGGCAGAGAAAGGCGAGGGGAGGGAGGGAGGGTGCACGCATTCTCGCTGGAGTTTCTTCCTAAATCCTGGGCCCAAGAGGGTGCGTCTGGCACCCATCTGGCGCGCACCTGTATGCTGATGAGTCGGCCATCAGTTTGCTCTTCGTACGTCATCACCAGGAAGGCGCCAGGACTGGGCGCATCGTCGTCATGCGCACGCGGCGCTTGAAGCCCTGGAGGGTGCGCTGTAGTTTTTGTGTTGTAAAATGTTTGGCCCTTTGTTGTGACATATTTGGCCCGCTTTGTGCCCGTGGGGGCTGTCCGAAGATGGCGCGGGGTGAAGATTGGTCCCGTGGATTGTCCAAGAGGTCAAAGGGCCGAGCATTGGAAAGCTCACGACCTCGGGCGTTAGGGCCCCCATCGTACGTTTGGTTCGCGCCGCGTTGACGCGGTAGCAACATCTGCGAGGGTGTTCACGGTTGACCGCCGCCAGCGGCCCGGAGTCGTCCGAGATTTGAAGATGTGCCCTGCCAGAATGCCACGATTGATCAAGGTTGAGTGGTCCACGCGGTGTCAGAAAACATCGCTGGCATCATCGCGACGTGAACCCGCCGTGCAGTCAAACAGATTGGATGAGGTCCCAAGAAGCAGAAATCGCCCCATTCCCTTCGGAAGACATTCATTTTTGGCATGTGCGACGTTTGGGGGTTCACAGCGTCCAGAACTGCCCCAGAGGCCCCCAAGAAGGGCCCAAGAGAGCCCCTGAGGTCGCACCGTGGTTAATCACAGAAGAGGTTTGTGGCCTCTCGGTCGTTCCACGGGATTTCATCTGGCGGTCCTCCTGCACTTGGGCGCAGCAGATTTCCAATCGCGGCGGTCCCAGCCGTGGCCACGAGGGCGCTCCAGGAGGCCCAGGCGCGCCCTCGTGGCCTCGGATCGTCGACCCTGGATGCTCGATATTTGTTTCTTGAGGGGCTTCGTTCCTCATTCAAGGCCTCCTGGTGGCAAAGCTTTGGCTGCGCCAGCGTAGGCGGCCAGGCGCCTCGTCGAAGCAGCGGAGCAGGAGCCGTGCGAGCGAGGACCCCCAGGGCCCGCCGCGGCGGCGGAGGGTGTCCCACGTACGTAGCAGCGGGTCCTTGCAATTGTGGAGCCCCTGGGTCTCTCTCTGAGCCTCGCGCCCGGTGCTCTGGAGGTCATTCCCCCCCCCCCCCGCCCCCCTGGAAGAGTTGAGCGCACCTCAGGCCAGGGCCACCTCGGGCACCACGCGCCCGGGGTGGGCGGGGGTGGGGAAGGGGCTGTATTGCCGCAGCCCGTGTGCGCGCACGAGGGAGACGCAGCAGCAGCAGCAGCAGCAGCAGCAGCAGCAGCAGCAGCAGCAGCAGCAGTGGGTTGGGGGGGGGGGCGACGGGGTGGACAGGAAGGTTTGCACGCGAGGATCCGTCCTTCTGATGTTTGTCCCCTGTTTGGCTCCCCGTTGCTCAGGACTGCTGGACTAGCCAAGCTGAGCGGGCGGCCACGCTCATGAAGGGGGGACACGTCGAGGGCCCCTCCTTCTTTCCTGCCCCTTCTTATGTCCTTTTCGCCCACCTTTCGACGTGCTATCCGCAGGACACCACGTCGTCTGCCGCTGACCTTCCGACTTCGGCCCCGCGAGCGCGTTTTGCTTGCGGGTCAGGGTTGTCCTCACGCGCCTTGACGTTCTTGGGGGGAATGTGGAATCCCTGGAGAGCGGCACTGTCCCACCCTTTTCTCGCCACCTTGTGTTCGACTTGGGCTACGTACTATTCGCCTTGACATTGACCCGTATTCATGTAATATACATATATATACACATATATACGTATATGTTTATATATATGTGTGTATGCCATATGTATATATATATATATATATATATACATATATATACTAGAACCACGCGCGCGCTTCGCGCGCTTAGTTTCTAGCTAGGATCGTCACCGTCGTCATCATGAACATCACCATCGCCATCATTCCCCCCGCCAGGGCTAATGTACATCGTTTCTGGATGCTTCTGGCCGGAATACGAAAGGAGTTTCTGTAGTTAGTCTCTGGGGGAAGTCGCGGGGAAGCTTTTGTTGTATTTGGTGTTGCGTCGCCAGGAGGTATGGGCTCCCTCCTCCTCGTGTTCCTACCTCCTCTCTGGACGTCCGATGTCGTGATGCTTTCTGTGCGCGGCCCCTGGACCTCTCGACGACTTCCTGGGGATGTGTTTTTTTTTCATCCTGAGTCGTTTTCTGACGGTCCCGGGACCCTGCGAGGGGCCCCGGAGGCCGAACATTGACCGAAACCGCCGTCGTGATTCTTCCAAGACGTCGGAGGTCCAGGTCGTGCTTCCCGCCTCCCCAGACCTCCGACGTCGTAATTTTTGCGACCTCGGGCCCAGGAATCGATTGGGAAAACGCACATGGCAAGGCAAGAAATGGACCCATATTTCGTACCTGTGCCTTGATCAGTGGGACGGGCTTCGCACCGCCGCACATCACAAGACACGCTCGAGCGGATCCAGCCGTGGCGACGTCGGGGACTGCAGAAGGTCGCAAGGACACGGAATCTGAAAGGAAGAAAGAGAGAGAGAGAGAGAAAGAGAGAGGAGAGAGAGAGAGAGAGAAACAGACAGACAGAGAGCGAAGGAGAGAGAGAGAGAGAGAGATGGAGAGAGAGAGAGAGAGAAGAAGACAGAGAGAGAGAGAGAGAGAGGCAGAGAGAGGAAATGGAGAGGAGGCGAGCTTGAGTCAACGAAAGTCGCAGGGAAGGGGGCAGGGGGAAGAAGGCCAGAGAGCGCTGAAGGATACAAATACTGGAACCCTCTTGGGATTTTTTGGGGGGCCTCGTCCGGCCGCTCGCTGGGAGTTTGACGTAGCTTCTTGGGAGCCTCTGAACCTGTCGGGGGCCTCCTGGAAGCAGGTTCGAAGCATTTTGGGGGCCGATGTGGGGCTTCTCGGGGCCTCCTTTGGGCCTCTTGGGGGTCTCCTGGGGCCTCTTGAGGGGCCTCCTGGGGGCCTCCTGGCGGCCTCTTGGGGCGGAAGGCTCGAGCTTGCGGTTCGTGGTCCCCCTCTGGGCCCCCTCTTGGGCCCGTCTTGGGGCCCTCTTGGGCCATCTTGGGCGCCTCTTGGGCCGTCTTGGGGCCCTCTTGGGCTGTCCTGGGGCCCTCTTGGAAGCTTCTTGGGCCGTCTTGGGGCGGTCTTGGGCGCCTCTTGGGCCGTCCTGTAACGTCGGAAAGCCCAAAAGCAACTTTGTTGAAAATGTACGTTTTACGAAGGGAATGGGCCAATTTTTGCGTCTAGGGGCCCTCTTGGGACGCATGTTGGAGGCTTCTTGGGGCCTCTTGGGGGCGTCCTTGGACGTCTGGAGGCCATCTTCAGCATCTCGGAGCCCTCTTGGAGGCCTCTTGGAAGTTTCTTGGGCCGTCTTGGGCGCTTCTGGGGCCGTCTTGTCTGACCGGGGAGGCCTCCGGCAAGCCCCGACGAGCCTCCGGGCCCCCTGGGGCCCACATTTGTGGTCGGGGTCCCGGCCCCGGGCCCCCGGACCCGGTGCGCCGTTATATGTATATGCCATAATATATATATTATATATATATATATATATATATATATATAAAAATGTATATATCTACATATATATATAATATATGTAAACATGTATATATATATATATATATATATATATATATATATACCGGGGAACGGGACCTGGGGCCGCCAGATTGGGACCTCGGACCTCCATGGGGCCACGAGGCTCCAGGACGTTCCCGGAGGCTTGAACCTCGACCACGAATGCGGGGTCCGGGGCCCGGACCCGTCTCTGCGAGCGCTGAAATCGCCGTCGGGAGCCCTCAGACAGCCGTCCCGGCAGCCCTGGACGGTCTCGAGACGTTCCCAAGACCGCCTCCAGGCGTCTCCATCCGCCCACGATGCGCTTTAAACTGCCCAGGAAGCTCCCCCAAGACGTCTCAAGCCGCTTCAAGATGCCGCCCTAGAGCGTCCTGAGAGGCCGAAATCGTTGATGTTTATTAGTTTTTTCGATGATTTTGGCTTTCTCCCTGTTTCGGCTTTCCGACGCTCCAAGACCGCCCAAGAGGCTCCCAAGACCGCTCGAAGACGGCCCCAGAGGCCCCCAAGAGAGCCCCAAGACGGCCCAAGAGAGCCCCAAGACTGCCCCCAGACACGCCCAAGACAGCCCAAGAGAGCCCGAACAAGGCCCCAGGAGCCCTCGGACAGCCGTCCCGGCGGCCCCAGACGGTTTCGAGACGCTCCGAAGACCGCCTCCAGGTGTCTCCAGCGGCCCGCGATGCGTCTTAAGCTTCCGAGGACGTCCCCCAAGACGCCCCAAGAGGCTTGAAGATGCCGCCGACGAGCGGCCGGAGAGGCGAAAATCGCTGATGTTCATTAGTTTTTGTTTGCTTTCTCGCTGTGTTGACTTCCCGACGCTCCAAGACCGCCGCAGAGGCTCCCTAGACCGCTCCAAGACGGCCCAGGAGCCTCCAACAGAGCCCCTAGACGGCCGAAGAGAGCCCCAAGACTGCCCCCAGACACGCCCACGACGGCCGAAGAGGGCCCGAACAAGGCCGCAGGAGCCCTCGGACAGCCGTCCCGGCGGCCCCAGACGTTCTCGAGACGCTCCCAAGACCGCTTGCAGGTGTCTCCAGGGGCCCACGATGCATCTGAAACTGCCCAGGAAGCCTCCGAAGACGCCTCAAGAGGCTTGAAGATGCCGCCGAGGAGCGGCCCGAGAGGCCGAAATCGTTGATATTCATTTGTTTTTTTTCGATGTGTTTTGCATTCCTGCTGGTTCGCCTTTCCGACGCTCTTAGACCGGCCCAGAGGCTGCCCAGACCGCTCCAAGACAGCCCGAGAGACCCTCAAGAGAGGCCGAAGACAGCCCAAGAGTGGGGTCCAAGAGAGCCTTAAGACTGTCCCCATGCCCGCCCAAGACAGCCCAGGAGAGCCCCAAGAAGGCGCCAAGAGCGGCCCAAGAGAGGGAACACGCACCGAACAGTCGAGCTCTCCGCCCCAAGATGCCCCCAGGAAGCCCCCAGAGGCCCCGAAGACAGCCCAGAAGGCCACCAAGAAGCCCCCAAGAGGCCCAAAGGAGGCCTCCAGAGGCCCCAAAACGGCTTCCGAGAGGCTTCAAAATTGCCTACCGAGGTTCCCCAAACATGCTCCAGAAACGCGCTGCCGGAGCACGTTGCCGCCTCTGTTTCCAACGTATGCATGTATGAACGTATCTATGTGTTTGTTTTCAATGTGTATTCGTGCATGCATCGATGTATGCATGTATGGATATGTGTATGTGTGCATGTGCATATACACACATACATGCACGCATACATATAACGTCGTTGGCCTGGTTGCGTGATTGGCACTTCCTGAACTCATGTTCGCACGATCTGCGGGCCTTCCATACGTGCAGCTGTGACCTTGTCCAAGGGTGGGGTTGGCTAGAACCTAAGCGCGCGCGAAGCGCGCGCGAAGGTTCCAGTCTCTCTCTCTCTCTCTCTCTCTCTATATATATATATGTAGTGTGAGGGGGGACGAGGAGGAGGAGGAGGAGGAGGTGGAGGAAGACATCTAGGACCGAGGAAGGTTGATCTGTGATCATTCAATCCTTCAGAGTCTGTGGGCGTCTTGTAGCGTCTTTGCTTTTTTTGGGCCCGTGGAGGCTTCTCGCAGCGGAGCCCGCCTCGAACATTTGGCCTGAACGCCCCCCTGGGCAGGTCTGGGCCGCGATTTTCGAGGGATGTGGAACTTGTGGAGAGCAGTGGGCTGCCCAGACCTGGCGGCTTGAGGATGTGGCGTGGGGGCGGGTTCGTCGACTTGGACCTGTTCCCGGGCCCTGGGACCCAATCGAAGCACAAGCAATTGCAGAAACATGTTGTCTCGGAGCTCCGCGCGGATCTCTTGGATCGGTCCAGCGCCGATCCAAGGATTCTGTGCGGACGTCCGAAAACTTGTGTGTCATGTTGGTTCTTGCCCGTCGGGTCTCTGAAGACGGCCCAAGGTGAAACATTGATGCCCAGGGCAGGGCTCAAGAGCTGCAGGTTGGCCCTGGCGCCACAGAGGGGCGAGAGACGTCGAAATTCGGAAGTTCCTGGAACTCCGCCTGGGCGTTCCAGAGGGACCGAGGATAGCGCCTGGAAGCCACGTGACGTGACGTCGTGACGGGTCCTTCCTCCCTCTGCTGGAGGTTCCTGGAGGTGCCCAGCCCCGAAGGTCTCGCGCCACGGGCGAGGCCGCAGACGTCGCCGATTTTCGGGCGGCGGCTCCTGGTGGCGCAATACATAGGGGAACGAATACTGACATAAACATAAAAACTCGGAGGTCCGCGCGGACCTCAGAGTTTTTAATGTTTATGTAATTATTCGTTCCCCTAATCCAGTTCAAGCCCATGCCAAGAAGCACCCTCCTTGTTTCGAGGGTGCCTTGGGTTTCTTGGGTGTCGATGGTTTCGGTATGGAGAGCGTGACGCTTCCTCGCCCCAAATCAACGGACGCCCTGGGTTCTCAGGGTTGGGTTTCTTGTGCAAGGTCTCTTGTGGTCGAGTTCCTACTGCAAGCGGGGGCGAACAAGTGGTGAAGGAAAGGAGAGTGACTCAACAGGGCTCCTGAGCTTGCGCCCTGTGTCCAAAAAGGGTGGAATGGTGTCTCTCTATCAACCTTCCCGTGGAATCCCCCGTCGTTGCTGTCCTCTGTGGATTTCACGCAGCTAAGACGTGTGTCGCTCACCCGTGCCACTCGGCACACGCACTGTCCCCCCCTCAGAGGTCGGGCGGGGAGGAGACATCCTCCGCCCTGTGCGCACGCGGGAGCGCGCTCGGAGGAGGAGGGATGGAGAAGGGAGGGAGAGAGGAAGGGAACGAGGGAGAGGCGGGAGGGAAGGAAGAGAGGATAGAGGAAAGAAGAGAGGGAGGGAGGGAGGGAGGAAGTCAGGGAGGAGGAGGAGGAGGAGGAGGTAGAAGAGGAGGAGGAGGAGGTCTTCGGATGCCTCTTGACCTCTCTGGATTCCGGCGTCGGGCCCATGTGAAACGACCTTGTGTGAAAGGCGGCCCCAGGGAGAGGGTCGAGATCCCGAGGGTGCTCGCGTCACGAATCAGTCGTGGCGTTGGAGGTGCGGTGGCGCAGATGGGGTCCTTTTGCCCCTCGCCTCGGGCTCCGTCCTTGCCCTTTTCCGCCGTTGGCCTCCCTCCATGAGGCTACCGTCCCGATCCCTGGCAGCCATGGGGTTCAACCGCGCTTCCGCCTCGGATCTGGCAGGCTCGTGACGCGAGTGGATGGCCTCGTTGCGACAGTCATCAGCATGCAGCACGCAAGTTGGCAGTCCAACAGCGCAGGCTGACCAGCACTGTGCCCCGCAAGCATGTGGGAAGAACTACAGTGGTTTCAGTGGATGCGGCAAGCCAGGACAATTTCGACGGCTTCCGCATCGAGGCGGCAAAGCAGGTCACGAAATGGCTCCAGGCGTTTCGTCGCTTATTCTTATACCCTCTAGATGTTTGCCTATTGCCTTCGCTCTTGCCATGCAGCTCGTCGCTCTCCCCTCGTGCCGCCTGTGACGCTTTTTGGGACCGTTCTTCTCATCCTCCTCCCTCTTCGTCGTCTTCGTCCTTCTTTCCCCTACCCGTTAGCTTATTGGTGGCGCTTTATCTGTGAAAAGGGGAGTCGCTGCCCTTGCGGTGCCGCCTAAGCGATTGCGGGGTCGTTGCTGGCGTCGTCGTCCACATCTTGTTTCTGTGCATCGTCGTCTTGGTCCTCCTTCTCCTCCTTCTCACCATCTTCCCTCTTCCTCCCGCTCTCCACTTCGTCCTCGTCCGTGCATCGCCTTCTCCCTCCTCAGCTCCTTCTCCGCCTGTCATGCTCCTGCTGCTCCTCATCCCTTCTGCGCCCATGAGAGTTGTTTGAGCACCCTGAGTCCCGTGAGAACCCAACAGGACTCGCGATAACTCCCTTGTAGGTTCAAACAAGCTCTTAATTGAGTGCTCTAAAATATTCATGCCCTTTTTCTCAGGCTGAGCTACGTTGAGTGATTGGCGGCAGCTTATCGGAAGGCCTTTGGCCGCTGCCACTTCCCCCCTGCTCCAGGCATCGAAGGGTCTCTCGTCGCCATCGTCGCCGTCATCTTTCTAGTACTTCTGCTCGTGTTCCTACTGGGTGCTCTTGGGACCCTCGTGGGACCATTTCAGGGCCGCCCCAAGGGCCACCCCTCTCATGTACGAGCTTCTTCGGAACCCTTGTCATGGCGCCATTGGAGTAACCATTGCTCCTCATGCGGACTCTCGGAGAAGCTACTTGGAGTAGCTTCTGGTATCGGAGGTTGGGGGGTGAGTCCGACGTGAAACGGAGACCCCCCCTACCGGGAAATCGATTTCGGTTTCGGGTTCGTGTCGTGCGTGCCGTGCGTGCGTGCGGGCGAGGCGAAGCTGCGTGGGCGGGCGAGAGAAAATCCTCCTGTGGCTGGGCCGCGGCTGGACCAAATGTTTCTCCTCCGGCGGCCAGTGGCCCACGTTGTCCCGCCAGTGTCCCGCTGGTGACCCGAAATCCTCCTGTGGCTGGGCCGCGGCCAGACCAAATGTTTCTCCTCCAGCGGCCAGTGGCCCGCGGTGTCCCGGCAGTGTCCCGCTGGTGTCCCGAAATCCTCTTGTGGCTGGGCCGCGGCCGGACCAAATGTTTCTTCTCCGGCGGCCGGTGGCCCGCGATGTCCCGCCGGTGTCCCGCTGGTGTCCCGAAATCCTCTTGTGGCTGGGCCGCGGCCGGACCAAATGTTTCTCCTCCGGCGGCCAGTGGCCCGCGCTGTCCCGCCAATGTCCCGCTGGTGACCCGAAATCCTCCTGTGGCTGGGCCGCGGCCAGACCAAATGTTTCTCCTCTGGCGGCCAGTGGCCCGCGGTGTCCCGGCAGTGTCCCGCTGGTGTCCCCAGATCTTCCTGTGGCTGGGCCGCGGCCGGACCAAATGGTTCTCCTCCGGCGGCCGCTGGCGCGCGGTGTCCCGCCGGTGTCCCGTTGCTGTCCCGAAATCCTCCTGTGGCTGGGCCGCGGCTGGACCAAATGGTTTTCCTCCGGCGGCCGGTGGCGCGCGGTGTCCCGCCGGTGTCCCGCTGCTGTCCCGAAATCCTCCTGTGGCTGGGCCGCGGCCGGACCACATGATGCTCCTCCCCTCAAACGGTGGCCCGCGGTGTCCCGCTAGTGTCCCGCCGGTGTTCCGCCGTGGTTTGCGCATTTCAAAACTTCGCCGCTTGCGACGAGCTATCCAATGCAATGCAAGTCTGCATGCAAACCGACATGCAAACCGAAAAACACATCGAAATGCACATCGATTTGCACATCAAAATGCAAATCGTAAGGCGCCGTTGGCGCCGCGGCGAGCTTTCCAATGCACGTCGACATGCAAATCGAAAAGCAAACCGAAACGCACAGCGATATGCAAATCCAGATGCAAATCGAAAGGCAAATCGTGATGCCGTGCTCTATGCTGCGCCGCTGTTGCCGCTATCGGACCGCAGCCGCTTGCCCAAGCAAAGCCGGCATACTAATCGCGGCATCCTGTCCGAACCGTCGGCCAGTGCCGCCCTCATGACCGGTGCCGCCCGCATGCTCGAACATGCCTTTGCGGCGCCGCCGCTGTCCCAGGGCCAGGCGTTGCCAGCCCCAGGTGCAGAGGGATAGTACCAGGGCTCGCGAGCAGTCGCTGTGGCACCGCGAGCAGTCACTGTGGCACCGCGGCGCGCACGGTCGACCACGTCGACCACGTCGACTACCACGTCGACTAGACTCCGCCCCGCAGGCATCGCCAGAGAAACAATCGCCACTTTTGCCCATTGCTGCCCCCCCCCCCCAATTTTTTAATCACCCGCAGGGTGGTCGTATAGGTAAAGTTCCATACATTCCAAGAGATCGTGGCGCGGCTTGAATGTTCAACACATCGTTGCCGTGGCAGCGCGGATCCAGCGTACTTTCAGGGGTTGGTGCTACGGGAGCGCAGATAAGTTGCCCGGCCCGAAGCACTAGAACTTGTGCGACGTAGGGTCCACTGCGCGTCACGTCATCGATGGACCAAGCCGCTGAGCAACATTGGCCAGCACGCGTGCATTGCTAATCTGGCGTGGGGGAGATCAACTTCTGGCAACGGGCATCGCTGGAACAAGGAATTGTCGCCCTTCCCCTCATCATTCCGTTGTCCTCCTCCCTGCTCTTTCACATCGTTCGCCCCCCGTCCCTCATTATTTCCCTCTTCTCCCTCATCCTCCCCCCTCTTCCACACCGCATGCTCCTCCTCCTCCTCTCTTTCTGTTGGGCCGGGTCTGTATGGCGCGGAAACAGGCGCATAGTTCTTGTGCGAGTGCGCGTTTGCGTGCTTCGCTACGGTCTGGCAGGGAGCGCAGAGCAGGGGGAGAAAGTCATAGAGGGAGGAGCGAAGGTTTCACTTGAAAGAGTGATGGGTGGACGGGGCCCAAACATGCAATGTGTTGTTCTGTTCGGTGTCTGAATGCCGCGTACGGGCCCTGGACCGTCAATGAACTGATCCACAATGGAGCATTAATCCCAGGGAACGGGCCTAGAGGTCTGGGGGCCATGTCTCTGACAAGTCCAGCCGTCGGATTTTTGGGAAGGTGGCGAGCGCGGGAAAAAGGATGAGGTTCAGAAATTTCTAGACGCTTCCCGTAACCCCACCAACCCATCCAGAAACAATGCCCAGAGGATTTGCCTCGATCACGGAAGTGGGCAGCACGCAGAGGAAAGGTCCCCCAGTGGAGGCTTCGTGGAGCGTCTTGGGGTCTTTTTGGCGGTCCCGGTGGCCTCTTGGTGCGTCCTGGGTGCCTCGGGGAGTCTCTTGGGAGCTTCTTGGAGGCCTCTTGGGCGCCTCTTGGGGCCTCCTGGGTGCTTCTTGGGGTCCTCTTAAGGCGCTCTTGGGAGCCTTGGGAGTGCTCTTGGGGCCATCCTGGAGGAGATCTATGAAAAATATGGGGGCTCCAAATTACGCCCCCCCCCCCCCCCCCCCCCGGGAGCCCTACACATCGCCTCTTGGGCCCTTCTTGGGGCGCTTTTGGGACGTTCTTGAGGCCGTCTTGGGGCCGTTTTGGGGCTTTCTTGGGCCTCGCTTGGGGCCCTCATGGGCCCTTTCGGAGCCATCTTGAGGCGTCGGAAGGCCATGAGAAGCAAAAAGGCGAGACGGCACAATTCACAGATTTCCCATCGGTTTTTGCAGCAGGAGGCTTCGTGGCCACTCGGAGCCGGTCTTGGAGCGGTTTTGGGACCTCTTGGAGCATCTTGGAAGCCATTTTGAACCATTTTGGGCACTCCAACTACCCGCGACCCCCGCCCCCCGCCAAATCCAGGGGCCGGGGGAGGGGGAGGAGTCAACTTAGCCAGTTCGAACGAGCCAGGGGGTTCCGTCCACTCCCATCCGCCCTCCCGCAACATAATAAGCAAATGCGTCGGTTCCGACGCGCGTCGCTCATCTTATATCGTGGGCGGCTGGACGCTCGGACGCGACAGCGGGCACGCCGGCGGCGAACCGCATATGCTTGAGGCATTTTGACTTGCCGCCCGCCCAGCTCCTCAACCCGACGGGCCGCAGCGTCGACGACAAGAAAGTCCATGTTGACGAGCATGCGTCTCCGCGCGATGTGCGATGCGTCCCGTTCCCGCTACGCGATTTGCAGCGCCGACGAGGAGAAAGTACACGTTGGCAAGAAAAGCATCGACGTTGCTTTGTTTTTTGATAGGTGTGACGGGGGGTCCCGCGTAAGGTTGGCCAGGCGTCCGCGCGCGATTCGTCGCGTCCCATTCTTGCGACACTTTTCGCAGCGCCGACGACAAAAAACTCCACGAAGACGAAAAAAGCGTTGACGTTGTATTGTTTCTGACGGGTAGGACGCGACCACCCGCTTGGGGTCACCCACGCGATGTTCATTTCGTCCCGTTCTCGCTACACTTTTCGCAACTCGACGACACGCTGGCGAAAACAGAATGAGATAGTGTTGTTTTTTGACAGTTACGACGGCGCGGTTACTATCGGCCGGCTGGGTGGGGACGCGGGGGTGTTTAATCATAGGGAGTAAGGATCAAAACGCCTTCTCCGCGCGCGAGCTGTCCAGCTCACCCCCGCCCGCTTTCCCGCCACAGAAATGGCATCCGAGTCACGGCATAGCCAGGGGTCGCCAGTGGATGGAAACCGTTGGGAACCAAAGCGGATGCCAGGTGCGCGACGCTCGCCGCGGGTTCCACATGTGGATGGCGTGCCATCCTTGCTAAAAGCGTGATGCCCCCCCGTCCGCATGGTCCAGATGCTGATGTTTGGGGAGTCAGCATTGTTTTGGGCCTGCGCACAACAAACATCATCATGCGGGCACCACCGCCGCCCTTGTCAAAAAAATGCAAAAAGTGATCGCGGGTGGCCAGCACAATGCCCACGACGTTGTCGCAACGTGCACTTTGCGGTTTGACACGGATGGTGGTCCTGCACAAAGTGGTTTCGCTAAGGGTGCCCCGCCATCCCTGCCACAAAACAACACGACGTGCTCGCAGGGCGCCAGCGCACTGTCCAGATGTTGCTAACATGTGCGCTTCGTGTTGATGTTTTTTTTTTTTACCGGGGTTGTGGAGGGTGTTGGCAACGTGGGCCCCGCAATGTGCATGACAGCTATATATATATATATATATATATATATATATATATATATATATATATATATATATATGAAAGGGATGGTGGGGGGGCGCCCTCATGGTGTGCGCATGGTTCCGGGTTGGCTGCCGGTCGGGTGGGGGAGGGTGTGTTTTTCAGACTCGTAAGGACCAGTGGTCAAGGCACCTTCCTAGGTAGCAAGCCGTCCAGGTCATTGCCACCCGCCCCCCAACACATAAATATCACCCGAGCCTGAGCAAGTTCAGCGGTCGTTTTTGGATGGACAGGTACTGGGAACTGAAAGCGGCCCCCATGTGCGCGACGATGGGGCGAGGTATGCCTCGCGTGCCAGGCGCGCCACGCGCGCCAGGCACCCTTCGGGCCCGAGCGTGCCAGGCACGCCTGGTGCGCCAGATGCGCCACGTGCTCCGCGTGCGCCAGGTGTGCCGCATACTCCAGCCGCGCCATTTGCGCCACGTTCGGGGCAGGTGCAGAGTGTGTCAGGTGCGTTTGCGCACGTGACAGCACATGTTGAAACATGTCGGCCCCAACCATCTTCAATGCCAGCGAAAGCGAGGACTATCAACAGCGGCAAGACGTTCATCCGCCCGTGTTTAGACTCATTCGTGTTGTCAGAAGTCTGATCTTCGACGTTGGCATGTGCAATTGCTGCTCAAAAGGCTTCTGGCTCTGCGGGACGATATTTCGTTGTGTTTCTGACCAGGCTGTTGTGTCCACGTCCTGCGATATTTTGCTACCAGTCGCGCGCAGCCCGTGCACGTGCAGAGGACCGAGAGACGTGCGCGCGAGCGCAGATGTTCGCGAGTCTTGGCCGTCGCAGGCGGCGCACACGCTGTTCCTCGGGACGCAGGCTTGCATCGGCCTTTGCGACTCCGCCGACTGTTCCTTTCATGCCATTCTTCACCACAAGTCAGCAGCTGGCAGCTTGCATGTTTCGAAACCACCCTCGGCAACATGTGCACTGGGCCTCCTCTTTCGTCGTTCGGTGGCCAATCTTTGGCTGAATGGTGTGCAGGGCAGTGCGGATGTTCCTTTTCAAATCCCGATTGACCATGGCGCCTGAATATGACAAGTCACCATTCTCGCTTCCTGCCTCGTCTTGTGCACTCTTGGACCTCATGATCTTCTGTGGAAGAAGGTCTCTAGTGCGGTTCGCCTGCATGTGCAGTTACATACCTACGGTAGGCTCGTTTCGTGCCAGCATGTCAGAAACCCCGCCGTGGGCGTTCAAGGTTGAACGCCGCCAGTGGCCCAGAACCGGCCGATACCGAACGATCTGCGCCCTCGGAAAGCCGCGATCGTTCAAGGTTGAACGATCCACGCGGTGCCTCATTACCGCTACGCTTTCATCATAGTTTCCGTCGGGCGATCGTGGATCGGTTCTGCTGCTCCTAACTTCCTAGCGCCTGAATCGCCAGACAACCTCCAGGAGCCCCCGCCACGGGGAACAACACAACATAACGTCCCCCTTGGGGCGCCTCCTGCGCCGCCGCTGGCGCGCTCCGCGCGGAGTTCCGAAAGCTGATGTTTATGTAGCTTGCCCCTCGTCTAAAAGGGCTGCCGACTACCGCTGAAGGCCGCCGAAGGCCAATGGGCCTCTGGGATCCGCTGACGCGACACAACTGCAACGTCGTGACAAGTCGTGACCAGAGCTCTTGACCCCCTCTCTGTTCGGCATTTCGACAGCTAGCCAACCCGTGAGGGTCTCAGGGCCCGAAACCGTGCGAAGACGCCCAGTGTAATGACAATGCGACGCCCAGGTCTCAGCGTAACACGGGGTGCACGCTCGCACACGTATTCCAAGGTGTTTTATAAGTTCCCCCCCTCGCCACCCCGCCCATGGGCGCCTGTTCCGAGCCCCCAACGCACCCTGAACCCACCCTCTAACACACCCAGTGAAGCACAACCAACCCGCCCGCGCGGTCCACCACCCCACGCCTTTGGAACGCCTCGGTGCAACCATCGGACACCCGCCGTGGCCGTGAGGCCGCCTGGCCCGCACCAGAGGCGCGCTGTCGGTGCCGTCAGGGCGCACCCCGCGCCGTCGCCCGCGGCTCCGCGACCCCGGCAGTCAGGCCTGCCAGCCGTGGCCGCGGGCGCCGCCGCTGTCGTGGCGGGGGGCTTGGCCGTGGCAACGGCTGAGGCCTTTTCAAAGATTCTAGGCCTCCCAGATGGGGCCCGAGTAGATGGGGTCGGAGGATCGCGCCAGATCGCCGATGCATCGCCGATGCGGCTCGATATGGAGCCCGATTTCCGTCACGTCGCCGTTGCCGATGCAGCGCCGACGTCAACGATGCATCGCCGATACATCGCCGATACATCACCGATGTCTCGTCGATGTGGCGCGATCCTCCGACCCCATCAACTGGAGAACGGGGGATTGTGGCGGCCCTCGCCTTTCGGATGGTGTTTCCGTGTGGTGTTTCTAAGGTTATCGCATCCTTCTTCCTCCTGGTCCTCTTTCTCTTCCTTCTCTCTCTTCCTCTTCCTCCTCATCGTCGCACAACTCCTCGTCGTCCTCCTCCCCCATCCCAGAAGGAGCACTGGCTTCTTTGTGTTGCTGCCCCAAAATGGGCGTCGTCTCACCATTGTTTTTTCTTATGTTTTTCTTTGGGGGGGAAACATCCTTTGTGATCGAGTCCGTTTGGGGTATCTTCCAATGGATTCCTGTTGAGAGGCGTTCCAATAGAATTCCTTGTGCGGCGCTTTCCAAAGGATTCCTGTTGTGAGGATTTTCCGTAGAATTCCTTTTGCGGTGCCGAAGGATTCCTATTGTGACGGTTTCTGCGTTTTTTTTCTGTGTCCCTTCCCCCCGAGAAAATACGCAAAAACAGCATGGACATTCTTGCGTTTCCCAACCATCCTGTGGTTTTGTGTCTTCGTTTTGAAGAGACAGCGCCTTGCGTTCTCTTCCTCTCGGCTCCTTCCTCACCCTCCTCCCCCTCCTTCCTTCCTGCGTTTCACCCACCCAGTGCAGCGTTTCGTGGCCCCACATGAGCTCCACCGAAGGCGCCAGTGGCAGGGTTTGCATGGCGGCCTCGGGCAAATTCGGCACACACCCCACGAGGATCGCGGCCCCATATGAGCTCCACCGAAGGCCCAGTGGCAGGGTTTGCATGTCGGCCTCGGGCCATTTCGGCACACCCCTCACGAGCATCATGGCCCTATAGGGAGCTCCACCGAAGGCGCCGTTGGCCGGGTTCGCATGGCGGCCTCGGGCCAATTCGGCACACCCCTCGCGAGGATAGCGGCCCCATAGGAGCTCCACCGAAGGCGCCAGTGGCAGGGTTCGCATGGCGGCCTCGGGCCAATTCGGCACACTTCTCACGAGGATCGTGACACCATCGCCAGCTCCACCGAAGGCGCCAATGGCGGGGTTCGCATGGCGGCCTCGGGCCATTTCGGCATACCCCTCACGAGGATCGTCCGATGGATTCTCTTTTGCGCGGCTTTCACATAGAATCCCTCACTGGTGCGTTCAAAAAGGTTTTCTGGTGTGAGGCTTTCCGATGGAATCTATATGTGGTGTTTTCCAAAGGATTCCCTCTGTGACGGTTTCCAATCTATACTGCCTTTGTAGTAGTTTCCAAAGGATTCCTGTCGTGAGGTTTTACAGTCGAATCTCTTGGTGATTCCAAATGGATTTCGATTGTGAGGCCTTCCAATCGAATCTCTGTGTGGTGCTTTCCAACGGATTCCTTGGGTGATCCTTCCGAGTCGGATCTCCTTGTGGTGCTTTCCAAAGGATTCTTGTTGTGATGTTTTCCTATCGAACCCCTTTCCGGCGCGTTCCAAAGGATTTCCTTTGCGATGATTTCCCGTCGAATTCCATTGTGGCGTTTCCCAAAGGATCTTTGTTGCGAGACTCTCCAATCGAATGGTTGTGCGGTGCTTTCCAAAGGAATCTTGTCGTGAGGTTTTCAAGTAGAATTCCCCTGCGGCGCGATCCAGAGGATTCATGTTGTGAGGCTTCCTGATTGAATCCCTCTATGGTACTTTCCGATGGTTTCCTTGTGTGCGGGCTCCTAATAGGAGCCTTCAGTTGTGATATCAAAAAGGTTTTCTGGTGTCAGGCTTTCCGAGGGAATCCTTCTGTGATGCTTTCTGATGGGTTCCTTTTGTGCGGCTTCCCAATCGGAACCCCTTAGTGGCGCTTTCCAAGTCGATACAATCACTGTGTGGTGCTTCACAAAGGACCCCCTTCGCGGTACTTTCCAAAAGGAGCCCGTCGTAGCGTTTTCCAGGCGATTCCTCTTGCGATGTTCTTCAGTAGGAGTCCTTCGTGCTGCTTCCCCAAGGATTTGTCCTGTAAGGCTTTCCAAAACAATCCTTGTGGAGTTTTCCGAAGGATTTCTGTTGCCAGGCGTTCCGATCGAGTCCATTCTGTTCCGCTGTTCAAAGGATCTCCATATTGCGAGGCCGTCCGATACAACTTGTTTTATTGTTTGCCAGATGGCTCCAGTTGTTTGTTCCCGCAGAATTGTTATGCTATTGTTCCTAACGCAATGCGTGTTGCTAGACAGCACTTTCCAGATGATCCCTGTTGTGAGGCCACACAATGTAATTCCTGCGTAGCATTTCGCACAGTGTTCCAAGCCCGAGGCTGTCCAATCGAACATTTTGTGCTGTCCAAACGTTTCCTCCTGTGATGCGTCCCAATGGAAGCCCTCAGCAGTGCTTGCCAAACGGCTCCGATAATGAGGCTTTCCAGAAGAGTCCCTTGGTAATGATTCCCAGCGGATTCCTGTTGCGAAGACATTGGATAGTTTTGCTTCGCTTTCCAGGGGGATTCGCTTGTGATGCTTAAGGAACGAGGTGCATATAATGTGTATGTGAGAGAGAGGCAACGAGAGAAAGCCAGAGAGGAAACGTAAGGATAATGATGAAGACAAGGCTGAAAGCATGCAAACACTGCTCTGGCGAAATTCCAGCCCCGTGCCGTTTGGCACAGGGATGGAGTTCCCAAGGCCATGCTCGGGGGGACATGTTTTGTGAAGAAGCTGGCGAAGAGTGTGAGAGAGATAGACAGATAAAGAAAGAGAGAGAGAGATAAATAAATCATAATGAAAATAAACACATGATATCACGATACAGAGAACGAGCAAATCACGAACACACTGCAAGACACTGTTCATAACAGCGAGGGCCGCCACAATCCCTCGGCCTCATCAATTCCGACCCTATCCGGGAGGCCTCTAATGCAAAGACAGCATACACATAAGGTTTCGGCGTTCCGGGCGGACCCCCTCCCCGGCGCGCAGAGCGCGCCAGGGCGGCGCCGGAGGCGCCGCCAGGAGGTTCCAGCGCAGGTCCAAGAAGTCCGCTCGGAGCTCCGATAGTTTATGTTTACCTCGTTGTTGCCGCCAGCGTCCGCGTCGTCATTCCAGTGGCTCCTTGGGCGTTTCGGGAGGCGCCCGTCGCCGCGTCTGGGTCACGTGGCCCGCAGAAGATGGACCAGGGTGGACTCCGGGAGGGGCTCGGGGACCGGCTCTGAGCGGGGTTTGGGCGGGGAGCGGGCAGAGCCGCCGCCGCTGCCGTGGCCGTCATCGTCGCCGCGGCCGCCGTTGCCGTCGTCGTTGTCGCCGCGGTCGCCGCCGCAGTCGCCGGGCCTCGTGCGCCGCGCCGGGCCGCGCGGCAGCTCCGCGAATGCGGCTACATCTACCAGTTCGGGCCCGCCTTTCAGACCGAGGACCAGAGGACACCCTCCTCGGGGGCCGGCGGGGGCGGGGAAGGGGCGCCCACGCGGGCGGGGGGCGCCGCCATGAAGTTCAGGCGGCGGTTCTTCTGGCGGCCCATCACGGGGCGGCGGCCCATCACGGGAAGGCGGGGGGTGTCCAGGCAGGCGGGTGGCCTCTCAGAAGCCCTCCTGGCTGTTGACAGTGCCTTCTCAGAAGGCCTTGGCCCCTTGCCTTCTCAGAAGCCCCACCGCCTTCCTGAAGGCCGCCTCCCCCGTGCCACCCCTTCTGCGCGCACAGTCGGCACTCCCCTCAATGTTCTTCCCCTGCCCCCCCGTTCCCCCCCCCTCCTTCCACCCCCCTTCGTCCTTCCTCACCCCTCCCATCCCTGGAGTCGCATCGAAACCTCGCAGGCGGGTGGTACCTTCCTCAACTCCTGTGGGGCACCTCGCCCCTGGGTCAGGTTCTGACGGCCCCGCCGTCGCTGCTCCGGCTGGTGTGCGCTCGCGGCGGTGAGAAACAATCGGGGGGACCCAACCGGTGTGGTGACCACACCGTGAGATGATTCAGTGGGGATTCGAGGTGACCACATGGTTGTGGGGCTTGGATCGTTCTATCCGAGGATGTCTCGGGCGACCGGGGCCCGCAGTGTCCAAATAACGTGCGGTGACGGGCCGTGCGGTGATTTCTCTTGCGACTTCGGTGTCGCCGCGCTGTCTGTCACCGTACTGTCTTGGTACCCCCCTAAGTTGCGAACCTCCACAGACCCATTGCATCGTTGTAAATCAATAAGCATCGGTAGAACATGTTAGACCTGTCCGCATCTCCTCTGGGAAAGCATTGGCCCTGCTGTTTGGCCTGCCCCTTACTAGATGAACTCTCCGTGGGGGTTCGCAACATTCATCTTCACCCTGAGGGGGTAGGCTGGTGGCGCTAAGGAACCCTGGCCCACTGGGGACGGAGATCTGGAACAGGAGTGACGATGCTGAGTACACCCCATCTCCCATCTCATCCTTCCGTGCTGATTTGCAATGCGAGGGGGGAACGACATCTGATTCATGCAGGTGGTATCGGCCCCGTCGCCAAGTGGTTTCTTCGATGTATTGGCGCATGTGGCGCCGCAGAAACCAGCTACGTGAGTTGATTCGCCAACCTCCCTTTACAAATGTCCGCCTCAAGGATGGGTCCCATGTCTCCAACGCCGTGACACGAGCAGTCAGTCGTTTCATCATCTCTGACGTCCGAAGGGGTCATCACATCTCTGGAGCGAAAGAAAGACGTTCGCGCGCACGAATCCGTTGGGGTTTCGAGAGTGCACATTATGCTAGCGGTCATGGCAGGAGGGCGGCCTCGTGAATTCAAGAGGACGGATCCATCCACGTGGCTTGGTGGCTTGGTGCGTGCGCCCTTCTTGGGGCTTCCTAATCCAGGAAGGTGTCGAGAGGTATTGGGTTCGCGTATGAAGCGGAATCGTGGCGTCAGGTGTCTGAGGGGGATGAGAAGGGAGAGAGGTTGAAGTAAGTATGTTGTGATATTGCTTCCAGAGGTATTGCATTCTCGAAGACACGGCTGTTCGCAGCTCGGAAAAATTGGTCAGCACGGGGGCTGACCGAAAAATGTCAGAAGTCGGAGGTGTCCATCCCCCTCCCCCCCCTTGTCCTTCTTTTCGTCCAGTTGGTGCCATCTCGTGCCCCTCTCCCCCCCGCCCCGCTGGTTCCCATGTCATGTCTCTACTTCCGCACTCCTCCACCTGCGTCTGGCCATGTCCTACTTCTGCTTTCCTCCCCCTTTTCGCACTGCCTGTCCCACCTCATCCCTTCCCGCCTCCTCAATTACTGTTCCCCTCACGTCTCATATCCATGTTGTCTCCTCCCTGCATCATACCCTCTCTTCTTTCTGTCCTCGCCCCCACAGGTACCCGTGCCCATCCACATTATTTGCATCAAGGCAATGAGACAGTTGCCTACCCCATGAGGGGGGGAAGGGGGAGGAGCTCACCAGGTTTCCCGCGTAAACTAGCAGAGTGTGAGTACATTCAGCCAGCGTCTCTCGTGCAGCTATCGCGCCCCCGCGAAGGACCATGCTCGTTGCGCGGGCAGGTCTTGATGGGGCTGTGAACGGCCGCTTCATCCAGAAGGCGCTCGTGGCGAACATCTCCAACTCGTTTGCTGCTTGCCTGCTGGCCAGTGCGGTTGAAGAACGTATGGTAACAATGTTGCTTCATGGTGGGCCTTCTTTGCGCTGCACGGCTGGGAATACGCATGCTGCACGCTTGTGTGTTGCTTTTGCCGAGGCCGCATGGCACGTCCTGGAAGGAACAGGAGGCGAAAGCAGCGGCGGCGAGGGTAAGGAGACTGGTCAAGCTAGCCAGCTCGAGCGAGTCAAGCATGGCATGCCCATTCCCACCCGTCCTCCCACAACATGAGAAACAGTGATGGCACAACTGGGGGTTGCGCGGGCATTTCAGTGCGAGTGGAGGATACCCCAGGACACCGCATTGACGTCCGCGCGGGATGTGCGCCGCGTCCCATTCCCTCCACGAATTTCGCAACAACGACGACAAGACTGGCCATGTTGAAAGGAACAACGGACACGTTCCGCCCTCCCACAACATCAGAAGCAATGTTGGCGCAACTGGGTGCTGGCGCGTAGTAGTAGTAGTAGTAGTAGTAGTAGTAGTAGTAGTAGTAGTAGTAGTAGTAGTAGTAGTAGTAGTAGTAGTAGTAGTAGTAGTAGTAGTAGTAGTAGTAGTAGTAGTAGTAGTAGTAGTAGTAGTAGTAGTAGTAGTAGTAGTAGTAGTAGTAGTAGTAGTAGTAGTAGTAGTCGTAGTAGTCGTAGTCGTAGTCGTAGTCGTAGTCGTAGTCGTAGTCGTAGTCGTAGTAGTCGTAGTCGTAGTCGTAGTCGTAGTCGTAGTCGTAGTCGTAGTCGTAGTAGTAGTAGTAGTAGTAGTAGTAGTAGTAGTAGTAGTAGTAGTAGTAGTAGTAGTAGTAGTAGTAGTAGTAGTAGTAGTAGTAGTAGTAGTAGTAGTAGTAGTAGTAGTAGTAGTAGTAGTAGTAGTAGTAGTAGTAGTAGTAGTCGTAGTAGTAGTAGTAGTAGTAGTAGTAGTAGTAGTAGTAGTAGTAGTAGTAGTAGTAGTAGTAGTAGTAGTAGTAGTAGTAGTAGTAGTAGTAGTAGTAGTAGTAGTAGTAGTAGTAGTCAGTAGTAGTAGTAGTAGTAGTAGTAGTAGTAGTAGTAGTAGTAGTAGTAGTAGTAGTAGTAGTAGTAGTAGTAGTAGTAGTAGTAGTAGTAGTCGTAGTAGTAGTAGTAGTAGTAGTAGTAGTAGTAGTAGTAGTAGTAGTAGTAGTAGTAGTAGTAGTGGTAGTAGTAGTAGTAGTAGTAGTAGTAGTAGTAGTAGTAGTAGTAGTAGTAGTAGTAGTAGTAGTAGTAGTAGTAGTAGTAGTAGTAGTAGTAGTAGTAGTCGTAGTAGTAGTAGTAGGTAGCGCCAAGAAACCGCGGGGAGACTCAGGAGGCCCTCCAAGAGCCTGAACAAGCAAAAACCTCCCAGGCATTCGTCACCCCAGGGCCTCCTGGAACGCCCCGGCGCCTAATGAATTGGCGAGCTAAAAACGTGCGCCGGGCCACAGTGGGAGCGCAACTTTGAGAAAATTTCGCTCGGCGCCCAAGCGAGGAGGTCATTTCATTCACTTCGAGCGGGGGGGGGCGCGCCCAATTCTTGCCTTGCACTTTTGCGGGGTGGACGACAAGAACAGCTATGTGGGCAAGCGAAAATCAGCATGGCATTGCTTCTGACAAGTAAGGTGGCCCCTCCCGCCTTGGGGTTGCCCCAAAAGTCCGCGCGCGATGTGCGCTGCGCCCCATTCCTGCCACGCATTTCGCATCGTCGACGACAAGACAGGCCATGATGAAAGGAAAAACGGGAAGTTTGTCTTGTTTTTTACAGTCAGGATGGGAGGGCCCGCGGCCCGCATGGACGTCCGCGCGCGATGCGCGCCGCGTCCCATTCCTGCCACATATTTCGCACCGTCGGCGACAAGGCAGGCCATGCTGAGAGGAAAAAACGGACACTTTGCATTGGTTTTTTAAAGTCTGGATGGGCGGGCCCAGATTGACGGCCGCGCGCGATGCGCACCGCGTCCCATATGTGCGCCGCATCCCACTGGTGCCACATATTTCGCACCGTCGGCGACAAGGTAGGCCATGCTGAGATGAAAGAACGAAGACTTTGTATTGATTTTTTACATTCAGGATGGGCGGGCCCAGATTGACTGCCGCGCGCGATGTGCGCCGCGTCCCATTCCTGCGACGCTTTTCGCATCGCCGACGACAAGAAAGACGATGTTGAGAAGAAAAACGGCCACTTCGTATTGATTTTTTATAGTCCGGATGGGAGGTTCCGGATTGGGTCGCTATCGGCCGGAATACGACGTAGGTGGGGGTATATTCCAATAGGGAACAAGGATGGGGGGGGGGCTCGGCGAGGAGGGGTAAAGGACGGCAGCCGCCGGCCCTCGCAGGGCCAGCGCAGTGCCGTTGCGTTGCCAACCCTCTGGTCACAGCTTGCCGCGCCGGTTCAGGGATAGTCACAGGAGAAGCATGGACCACCGCCGCCGAGTCCATGGGGGCGGGACCGACCCTTGGACGGTGGCACGCCTGAGCAAAGTCGTGCGCTGGGTGACGCTCGGCCGCGCGACCGCCCAGGGGTCGTTCCATACCGATGGGTTCTGGGTGGCGGTGGTCCACGCATATCATCTGAGACAGGGATGCGCGGCTGGGTTTACACTGTTTCTGGCCCCCCCCCGTCCTCGGGGCCCCATGCTGCAGGGCCCATCTGCAAGCTGCGGAGGAACATCGAAGGGAACCATGCCCTGCGCCTCGCGAGACGTGAGGCACGTGGTCAGTGGGCCCGGGGGGTCACCAGAGTACCGAGACGACGAGTACGGCGTCAGCATGAGGAGGAGGAGGAGGAGGAGGAGGAGGAGGAGGAGGAGGAGGGGGAGGAGGAAGAGGAGGGGAAGGAGAGGGAGGAGAGAGGGAGAAGGACAGGGGAGGGGACGGAGGATGGGGGAGGATGAGATGGAGGATACGTTTCTCCCCTATCAGTGCTTGTACTGAAGGGGTCCTAGCGTAGATTGAAAGATTTGGCGAAAATTCCGGGCCGATTTCGGTAGGCTGCCGGGTTCCCGGGTTCCCGGTTCCGGGTTCCCGGGTTCGGGGTTTGCTGGTTCCGGGCCGATGTCGGTGGGCGGCGGGGTTATTGGGTTTCATTTTCCCAGGTTCCTATTCGATCTTCTTACCGATCGGTCTCACTACCGATCTCGTTGCCCACCTCCCTATCGATCTCACAATTGATTTCACAATCGAATTCACTATCGATATCACAGTCGTTGTCACTATAGATTGCACGAGTGACCTCACGATCGATCTCACTACCGATCTCCCTGAACCGACTTCACGATCGGTCTCATGATCGACCTTGTTCTCGTCTACACTATCGATCCCACTGTCGATCTCACAACCGATCTCAATATGTACAGCACTACTCTTAAGACCATCCACTGATTGGGGCTGTTTTCGGGTGCAGTGTTTTCCAGCGTCAGCTCGAGCACAGCCTTTCTTCCCGCACGCCCAGAGAAGGAAGAGGAGGAGGAAGAGGAAGAGGAAGAGGAGGGGGAGGAGAAGGAGGAGCAGGAGGAGGTGAAGGGCCAGGTGGGGGTGGATGTGGGGGGGCAGCAGGAAGAAGGGAGAGGAGAGACTGGAGGAGACAGCCGGAGATGAGGGAGGAGGGATGGTGCACTAGGAGGACATCCTCCAGACCTCACAAATTGGGTCAGAGTACACGTGTTCCGAGGATCGCGCCGTATCGCCGATGTATGGACGGTGTGGCTCGATCTGGAGCCCGATGTTCTCCGTGCCGACGGCGCCGATGCATCGGCGATGCATTGGCGGTGCGGCGCGATCCTCCGCCCCCATTGATTCGTAACACATTCAGGAGACATCCACATCTGCAGAAGGCATCTGTACACCACCTTGCCTGGCCAGGGCCATCCTAGGGTCCAGAATGGCCCTGGCCAAGCACGGTGGTGTGTCCAGCTGGCTGCGGCAAATCCCGCCCCCGTGCCCGCGCAGCACACAGTGCGACGACTCTTCAAGCATTGCTTAGAAGGCCGTAACATGTGACACCTCCTGTCTCGATTCTTTGATCGGGATCGTATGGGGCTACACAGGCTGGCTTGGGATCAAGTGGGGCTCTCTTGGAGCCCTCCTGGAACCCTCTTGGGCCGCACTGGGTCTCTGATTCCATCTGAATGCCGTCTTTGGCCCCTCTGGCCGTCTGGGGAGTAGGTTGGCAATACGTTGGAAATTGATTGGGACCCGTTTTGGCAATCTTGGGTCGTCTTTGGCTGTCCAGAGCCCTTCTGGGGCCTTCTTGGAGAGGTTCTGGACCGTCTAGCAGGCTTCTGAACACCCTCCTGTGTCTCTTTGCGCCTCTCTGTGCCTTTCTTGGCTCCGCCGAGACCCTCCAGGAATCATCTTGAGCTGGGAGGCCGAATTCAACAACCCATTAGACTATCGAATGGTCTTCGGCCAATGCCCCCTCCGTGCCTGAGTTGTGGGTCGTTCGGATATTCGTTGGGCTGTCGTGGGAGGCCCCTCGGGGGCCTCTTGGGTGCTGTTTTAACGCTTCTTGGGGGCCGCTTTGGGCCCTCTTGGGGCGTATTGGGGGGGCTCTTGGTAGCTTCGTGGGGCCTCTTGGGGGCCTCTTGAGGCCTCCTTCGGGCTTCCTGGGGGGGGCCTTTGGGGCAGAACACTCTGATTTTCGGTTCGTGTTCCTCCTCGTGGGCCCTTCTTGGAGCTGTATTTGGGCTCTCTTGGGCCGTTTTGGGCGCCTCTGGGGCTGCCTTGGAGCCCTCTAGGGTCGTCTTGGGGTCATTTGGGGGCATCTTGGGGCGGTCTTCGGGGCGCCTCTTGGACCGTCCTGGAGCGTTGGAAGCTGGAAAAGTCGAGGACCCCAAAGGCCTCCGTCGTGGGGCCATCGTGGGCGTCTTGGACCGAACGTGCGGCGATTCGGGGCCCTCCTGAACAGGCTCGGGGGCCTCTCGGGGCGCCCTTGGCCCGTCTTGGGGCCCTTTTGGGCCCGAACAAGTCATGCGGCAATCCGCATGACGCCCAAGCGGCGGGCACGCGCCAAGCCCCAAGAGATCTGGCAATTTTGAGGTCGGCCCCCCGAGACAGTCGTCGGGATTGAGGAGTGCGGCTTTGAGGGGTGAGGCCAATGACCTGAGGACATTCTAACTCAGAGCACGGTGGCGGATTGTTTCGCACTTGGATGATCGAGGCCTTCCTCGAGAGTCTCCTGGCCTTCTCTTTACTGTTTTGGCAGCTTCCTCCCCTTGGGCGCCTCTTCGGGCATTCTTGGGGGCGGCTGGGTGCCTCTCAACGCAATGTTGGGCCATCCTGGCTTCCTTGGCGGCCTCCCTGGCCCGTCTTGCAAGCTCGGGAGAGCGCCAGGGAGGCGTCGGCGCTACCAGGGAGCCACTGGACGGGGCCGATGCATGCGACAGTGTGTGAGAGAGAGGGGGGGAGAGGGGGTCGGTGTCTCTCGGTGGCCTTGCAGGAACCCCACCCGACAACCCCTTCGCATCATCCTTTCCACCACACCCCAACGTTCCAACAGGACATGTGGCGAGGACGAAAGGAGCACCGCAGTACCGAGCCCGGTCGGCCCTCCACGTCCGCGCGCCACCGCCCACGCGCGCCCAGTTCGGCGAGGGCACGGAGCTGAAGGGCTCATCCAACTCCCACCTGAAGGACCTCCCGTGTCGGGTCGTTCATCGCGGAGGCCTCTCACTGGCGCGGTCGCAGGGCTTGGAGCATGGGTAATTACGGAGGTGGTCGATTTGTCTTGCCTCCTGGGGGACCGTTTCGACCCCTGGGACCATCATGATTCGATCTGGTGTGCTACCAGCAAGACCCTCAAACACAACGGCGTCGACTCCGACGTCCTCGTGCGCGCCGCCAGCGGAAGCCTCCAGGGTCTCTCTGGAGGCCTCGCACGGATCTCCACAGTGGTCTCGCCGTGGAACCCCCCCCACATGCGAGCAATTTTGCCGAGTCTCATGGGAACTAGTCTCTCGGGCGTTGCAGAATGGGGGGGCGATCAATGGGGAGGCGAAAACAGATGCACCTTTCGCATCTTCGGGCCCCTCAAGGGGCTCCCCTGCTGCCCAGAAGTGACACGAAATGTGCACGTTTCTTGCCCCCCCCCCGTTCATCGCCCCCTCTTGAGCAACGCCCAAAAGCAACGCTCCCCCAATATCGGCGGCGCGCCCAGGGGAAAGCGAGAGAAGGGGCGGGCTTTCTCAGGAGGCAAATCTCCCGGCCTTCTGGGAAGGTTTCTGTGCCTTCCCCGACGACGCACAAGACTTCTCAGAAGCCCGGAGGGTTTCTGAGAAGCCCCGCCGCCTTCTTAGAAGGCCTTCTCCTTCTGACCTCCCCCCCTCGCTCACCGCCGATGATATGATAGCTGGGTGCGCAGCCGTTGCGCACCGCATGGCCATGACAGTTGGGTGCGCTTTATTGGGTGTGATATTGCGACAAGGAGGATGCCGTTTCTGCAAACAGCATTCGGGAAGCTCGCGAACTGCGCGGCTCGCAGGACACCGATCAAGGGACAGGGGCTTCATAGATGTGATTAGTTGGGCCCACGGATGTCACACAACCCATGACATTAGCGACAGTTTCGCACATTGCAGCCCCCCTGGGATGGCGAGGTGTAGTCTGAGCCCGGGTGGGAACCCCGCTCTACTAGCCCGGCCCCAGCAGCTCTCGAAAGGGGCGACAGTTTCGCCGACCGCAGGCCCCCAGGGATGGCGAGGTCTAATCTAAATCTGCGTGGGGCCCCACTGTGCTGCCCCCCCAGCCGCCTTCGGCAGATCGCAGCCCGCCCAAGATGGCGAGGTCTAGTGTGATTCTGGACATGACGTCGCACTCAGCAGCCCTCGAAAGTGGCAACAGTTTTGCAAATCGCAGCCCCCCCAGGATGGCGAGGTCTCATTCGAGTCTGGGTAGGACGTCACTGCGCTGGCCAACCCAACAACAACAACAACAGAGAGCCGCGCCCAGACGGCGCATCGGCAGGAAATGTGCACATGCATACGTGGAAAATGTCACTGGGCCTCGGCCGGCAACCACTTGCAAGCTTTGCGCAAATGGCGCGCGAGGGTAAGCAGCAACACTCCGTCTGAAGAGGGTGGGGGGGCGGGGAGGGGACAGGGAGGAGGGAGGCGAATGAGCAGAGCGAGGGAACTCATCGCAGTCACACTGACTGTTTACAATACTCTTTAACAGCTGCATCCCATTCCCTTGGAGGAGAATTCAATAATATCTGCAGGCGGTCGGGGTCGTCTCCTGCGACTCTCAGCGCGCGGGCGTGCATGTAACTGGTCCATTGCAAGCGCGGTCTGCCTCGATTCTTCAGGGACCGCCATTCCCGCGGCATTAGGGAGTGCGCCTCGCCTGGCTGGAACACCATTGCTTTCGGCAACGATTGCGAAGGTGCCCTTGCTAATTTACCGTAATATTTAAGCTGCCTCTCCAATAGTGTAGTTGACAATGGAGGAGATTGTGCTTCAAGCAGGACACGTTGATTGCTGAAGAAAGATAGGAATGCCGGTTGGATCTTCAGTACTCTGCGGTAGCATTTGGCTTGAAATCCATCCAGTCTGTTCTTGTCTGCTTGCAATAATACACCAGATTCCAATCCGTACAATGATTTGGAGAAGACGCAGGCTTGCAGTACTCGTAGCTTGTGCTGCTTGGTCATGTTTGCGTGGTTCCACACAGCACATAATTTGTCAAATGCTCCTTTTGCTTCTCCGAGGCGGCGCGTTATTTCAGCCTTGGGCCGACCATCTGCGCTTAAGAGGCCACCAAGATAAACAACGTCGTCTTTAGATTGGATTTCTTCTCCATTCGGCCCCAAAACCGTAGCATCCGATCTGATTTTCAATAATAATGTTTTGCCAGCGTTCAGGTCGAGCCCAAAAGTTTTCCCAATGTTTGACACGATATGAAAATGCCTCTGAAGTGACTCCGGACACTGTGCCACGAGCAGCGTGTCGTCCGCGTAGAGCACGTCATTAGTAACCACATACGGCTTATTCTTGAAGATGCCCGGCTGCGCGTGGAAGTCCTTGTCGACGGCCTCGAGAAGCACCGACATAACGATTACGAACAGATAAGGAGATAAAGGACAGTTTCGCAGATCGCAGCTGGCCAACCCAGCAACCCTCGAAATGGATGACAGTTTCGCAGATCGCAGCCCCCCAGGGACGGCGAGGTCCAATCTGAGTTTCGGTGGGCCCCCCATTGTGTTGCCCCCCCCGCGGCAGCGCGACACCTTCGCGGATCGCAGCCCCCTAAGGAATGCGAGGTCCAATCTGAATTTGGGTGGTGCCCCCACTGTGCTGCCCCCCATCAGCAGCCCAGTTTCGCACATTGCAGCCCCCAGGGACGGCGACGTCAAGTGTAAGTCTGGGTGATGCCCCCCACCGTGCTGCTCCCTCCCCAGCAGCCCTCGAAAGTGGCGACAGTTTCGCAGATCGCAGCCCAACCCAGGGACGGCGATGTTTCATTCGAGTCTAGGTAGGACGTCGCTGCGCTGGCACTCCCAGCAGCCCTCGAAAGTGGCGACAGTTGCGCAGATAGCAGCCCCCCAAGGACGGCGAGGTCACGTGCAAATTTGGGCAGGACGTTACTGCGATGACCCCCCCAGCAGCCTTCGAAAGTGGCAACAGTTGCGCATATCGCAACCCCGCCCAAGATGGCGAGGTTTAATGTGATTCTGCTTGTGCTTGCCCCCCCAGCAGCCCCCGAACGTGGCGACAGTTTCGCAGATCGCAGCCGGCCAGGGACGGCGATGTCTAATCCGAGTCGGGTGGGGCCCCCATTGCACTGGCACTCCCAGCAGCCGTCGGAAGTGGCGACAGTTTCGCAGATCGCAGCCCCTCCGGGGATGGCCAGGTCTAAGTTGATTCTGGCTGGGGCCCCCACTGTGCTGTCCCCCCCCAACAATCTTCAAAAGCGGCGACAATTTCGCCAAGTTCGCAGATGGCTGCCCCCCAGGGACGGCGAGGTCTAATTTGAGTCTGGGTGGGGCCCCCACTGTGCTGCCCCCCCAGCAGCCTTCGAGATGGGTGACGGTTTGGCAGATCGCAAGGGTTGACGAGGTCAAATATGAGTCTGGGCAGGACGTCGCTGCGCTGCCCCCCTCCCACCCACCCCGCAACAGCCCCCGAAAGTGGCGACAGTTTCGCGCCCCCCCACTCAGGGATGGCGAGCTCAAAATTGGTTTTGGTTGGGGCCACCACGTCGCTGTACTGGCCCCCCAGCAGCCCTCGAACCACTGTGCTCGCAGCCCAAGATGGCGAGGTCCAGTTTGATTATGGGCATGACGTCGCTCTGCTGCCCCCCCACCCAGCAGCCCTCGAAAGTGGCGACAGCATCCAGCCTCCAGAGGATGGCGAGGTCTAGTCTATATCTGCGTGGGGCACCACTGTGCTGCCCCCTCCCCGGCCTTCTTCGAAAGTGGCGTCAGTTTCGCAGACAGCAGCCCCACAGGGATGGTGAGATCTAAACTGAGTCTGGGTAGCACGTCACTCCGCTGGACCCCCCAGCAGCCCTCGAACGTGGCGACAGTTTCATAGATCGTAGCCCCACGGGGACGGCGAGGTCTCATCCGAGTCTGTGTAGGACGTCGCTGTGCTGGTCCTCCCCAGCAGCCCTCGAAAATGGCGACAGTTTTGCAGATCCCACCCCCTACCCCCCAGGGTCGGCGAGGTTTGATTTGAGTTTGGGTAGGGCGTCGGTGTGCCCCCCCCCCCCCCCGCAGCAGCCTTCGGAAATGGTTGCAGTTTCGCAGATCGAAGCCCCCCAGGGATGTCGAAGTCTAGTCTGCGTCTGGGTGAGACGTCGCTGTGCCGGCCCCCCCTGCAACCTTCGAACGCGAAAACGGTTTCGCAGATCGCAACCACCCAGGAATGGCGAGGTCTAATTTGAGTGTGGGTGCGGCGTCGTTGTGCTGCCCCCCACCCATCCCTCATCGGCCCATCGGCCCTCGAAAATGGCGACAATTTCGCAGATCGCACCCCCCCAGGGATGGCGAGGTATGATTTGCATCTGGGTAGGACGTCACTGTGCTGCGCCCCTCAGAAGCTTTCGAGCGTGGCGACAGTTTCGCAGATCGCACCCCCCCAGGGATGGCGAGGTTTGATTTGATTCTGGGTAGGACGTGGCTGTGCTGCCCCCCCCTATCAGCCCTCAAAAGTGGCGGCCGGTTCGCAGATCGCAGCCCCGCAGGGGTGGCGAAGCCGGAGGCAAGTACGAGAGAGGATAGAAGCAAGAGGAGAACGAGAGGTACAAAGAGGGAGGAGAGAGAGAGAGAGAGAGATATAGAACCAACAAAAGAGTCATCACCTGTGACGCACCCAACCCATTTGCATCAAGCGACACTCGGATTTTGGTCCAGGACGCGCGGGGGGGCGACCCGCCAGCGCGGCAGCACCAGAGGGAAGGTGGCAGGGGGGCAGGGGACGACGACGAACGTGACGGGAGGAGACCGAAAAGTGCTGCGTTTGTCGGTGGTCCGCTAAAGATGCAGCGCTGCCTGCGCCATATCGCCCGGCAAAGAAGCGAGCGAGGCCTAGCTCGCCCGCCAGCTTCTTTGCTTCCTTCCTGTATTTTTCGAGTGCGGGAGCCAAGGCTCAAAGGCGCGCCGCGGCCCGCGACAACGCCCTACTGGAACTCCCAGCAGCCCTCGAAATTGGCACAGTTTCGCAGATCGCAGCCTCCCAGTGACGGCGAGGTCGAATCTGAGTCTGCGTAGCACGTCACTCCGCTGGACCCCCCAGCAGCCCCCGAAATTGGTGGCAGTTTGGCAGATCTGAGCCCCCCAGAGACGGCGAGGTCTATTCAGAGTCTGCGTAGCACGTTACTCCGCTGGATCCCCCAGCAGCTTTCGAAAATAGTGGCAGTTTCGCAGATCGCAGCCCCACAGGGATGGCCAGCTCTAGGATGAGTTTGCGTAGCACGTCACTCCGCTGGACTCCCCAAGCAGCCTTCGAAACTGGCAACAGTTTTGCAGATCGCAGCCCTCCAGGGGTGGCGACGTCCAATCGGAGTCTGCGTAGCACGTCACTCCGTTGGATCCGCCGGCACCTTTCGAAATCTGGCGGCGTTTTCGCAGATCGCAACCCCACAGAGACAGCAAGGTCTATTCTGAGTCTGCGTAGCACGTCACCCCGCTGGACCACCCCCCAAGAGCCTTCGAAAGTGGCAACGGTTTCGCAGATCGCAGCTCCCCAGTGACGGCGAGGTCTACTCTGAGTTTGCGTGGCACGTCACTCCGCCGGACCCCCCCAGCAGCCGTCGAACGTGGCGACGGTTTCGCAGATCGCAGCCCCGCAGGGATGACGACGTCTAGTCTGAGTTTGCGTAGCACGTCATTCCGCTGGACACTCCCCAGCAGCCCTCGAACGTGGCGACTGTTTCGCAGATCGCAGCCCCCCAGGGACGGCGAGGTCTATTCAGAATCTTTCTTAGCACGTCACCCCGCTGGACCCCCAGCAACTGTCGAAACTGGCGACTGTTTCGCAGATCGCAGCCCCGAAGGGATGGCGAGGTCTACTCTGAGTCTGCGTAGCACGTCACTCCGCTGGACCCCCCCCAGCAGCCGTCGAAAGTGGCGACGGTTTCGCAGATCGCAGCCCCGCAGGGATGACGACGTCTAGTCTGAGTTTGCGTAGCACGTCATTCCGCTGGACACTCCCCAGCAGCCCCCGAAATTGGTGGCAGTTTGGCAGATCTGAGCCCCCCAGAGACGGCGAGGTCTATTCAGAGTCTGCGTAGCACGTTATTCCGCTGGATCCCACAGCAGTTTTCGAAAATGGTTGCAGTTTCGCAGATCGCAGCCCCACAGGGATGGCCAGCTCTGAGATGAGTTTGCGTAGCACGTCACTCCGCTAGACCCCCAAGCAGCCTTCGAATGAAGCGATAGTTTCGCAGGTCGAAGCCCTCCAGGGGTGGCCAGGTAGGAGGTCAGCTGGCACGCAGGAAGGCGCGAGGTTAGAAGCAGAAGAGAAGGAGAGACGGGGCGGGGAGGAAGCAAGATGAGGGGGGAGGCGGGAGGAGGCGGAGCACGCAGTAGTGCATCCAGAACGACAGCGCAACGCAAGAGGTTTGGGACATACGTTTACACACACGCACACACATGTATACATATATGTAGTAGTAATCACAATAGTATTCGTAATACTAACAACACTAATAATAATGTGAATACTAATAATGATAATACTGTTAATAATACTAATAATAATAATAATTATAATGATAATAATACTAATAATAATACTAATAATAATACCAATAATAATAGTAATAATAATAATAATAATACTAATACTAGTAATAGTAATACTAATAATAATAATACTAATAATAATTATGATAAGAATAATAATACTAAGAATAATAATAATAATTCTAAGAATGCGAATCATGGTAAAACATAACGTTAGTTTATTATAACAAGACTAATCAATACCGCCCCCCCCGGCCCCGGGTCCCATTCCTCCCCGTGACATCTCGGGGACGCTCCTGGTACCGCTCCCCTGGCCTTTCAGGGAGCCCCCCACAGAGCAAAGGAGGGCCCAAGACGCTTCCTAGGAGCCCCCAAGAAAGGTCCGAGAGGCGTCCCAGGACGGCCCGAAGAGGCCAACATCGTAGATTGTCATCAGTTTTTTTCTAATGTTTTTTGCTTCTCGCGTTTTCGAGCTCCCAATGTCGGGGGAGCGTAAGACCCAGGTTTGCCAGGACTCGGGTTCGCCATTTTTTTTTGACGACCGCGACTCGGATTTTGACGAGTAGGAGTTTCGTGGGATGTCTGCAGCGGGAGGCCTCGTCAAAATGCAGGCTCGGCCTCGTCATTTTTTTGACGACCTCGTCGGGGATTTCCGAGTCCCCCGTACCCGGGTCTTACGTCTCCCCGACAATGGTCCAAAAGCGCCGAAGAGGCTCCCAAGACCGCCCCAAGACCACCCAAGACACCCTCAGGACGGCCCCAAGACGGGCCAAGAAGGCTCCAAGACTGCCGAAGAGGCGACCAAGACAGCCCCGAACCACCCCAGAACAGGTCCAAGATGGACCCAAGAGCGGGAGCAGGAGGCTTCCAGAAACCTCCGAGAGGCCTCCAGGACCCCCCAGAGGCCCCCATTACACCCCCGATCCCTGAGAGGCCCCAAAAAGACCCCGACGAGGCTCCAAGAACAGCCCAAGAGAGCTGCGAGAGCCGTCCCGAGAGAGCCCAAAGAGGGTAAAATTGTTGACTTCCATTGGTTTTTCTTATGTGTTCTGCCTTCCCCGAATTTTTTGTTTCACAGTGGGACTCGTACTCGGAGATCCCACACATCCCCTGACATCTGGCCGGCACCGCGCCTCCTTGCTTCCCGGGGGGCCCCCAAGACGCCCAAGGACAGCCCAAGACGACCCCAAGGAGCCCCCAGAACGTAAAGAACGGCCCAACACACTCCCGCGCAGCCCGAGACACCCTTCCGACGGCTCTCCGGGCCTCCAGGAGGCCTCCAGAACCCCCAGGGGGTCCGGAAGATCCCACACCCCTGAGGGGCCCCGCTAACAAAACCCGCGAGGTACAAACAAAAAACAGCGCCGAACAGCGCCGAGGAACTGGAAAAACATGGAAATCCCACAATTAATTTTTGTTTGTTGTTTTGTTTTTGTGTTTTTCAAGTTTGGCCCCTGGTCTACTCTTGCACAGACCACAATTCAGACCCCCCTCACCTCCCGAAAAAGAACCCAGGAAGCCTTTGAGAGCCCCAAATCGTTGAATACCTAAACGGGAATGAGTAATTTCTGCGTTTCCGCCCTTCCCCTTGTACGATTCCGAGGCTTGCGCAGGGCCTCCAAGGGAGTCCCTGGACGCAAGAAGCGATCAACATGAGATTACATGAGTCAGCCGATCAAGTCTAGCTAGAGCTTGAGCGCGCGCGAAGCGCGCGCGATGGTTCTAGCATCTATATATAGAATGAGAGAGAGGGAGGGACAGAGAAAAAGAGAGAGAGAGAGAAATACATGAGAGAGAGAGAGAGAAAGTTAATCAGAGAGAGAGAGAGAGCGAAAGAGAAAGATCAACAGAGAGAGAGAGAGAAACAAACAAACAAAAAAAACAAAAACAAAAAAAGGAGGAGGCGGGAGGAGGAGGAGGTGGAGACCACAGCGTTCTGATCAAAACGCATGTCCAGCCAAGGATGGTTGGGGATAGCAGAGGGGCATCTGCGCCGACATTGGCGCGTAAGCTGTCCGCGTGAGGTCGCGCATAAGCGCCCTCGTCTTCTATGCAGCGTGCCGCGGCAGCGGCCCGCGTACGCCATCGCGCACGGTTGTTGCGTCGTCTCGCGTATTGTCCTTTTTTGATCGTCGCTCACATCCTCGGAGATTTGTGGTCCTGGCTTGGAGACCCCAGGGTTCGCCAGGGACTGGTTTCCTACCGAGACGATCGAAACCCTTTTTGAAACCCTCCCGAAATCCCATGAAAACGCCCCCCAGAACCGTTGGAGGAAGATATTCGGAGGGTTTCGGGCAGGTTTCGGTCGTCTTCGGTGGTCAACGCCCAAAGGCATCCCGGGAGCACTTGTCAGAAGCTGGACGAAGGTTGGCAAACCCGTGGCTGCTAAAACGGAGCTCCGGGAAATTGTTTTCTTGTGGGCAGCAGCCCGGTTATTGTTTGGTGCGCTGAGCTTGAGTCCAGGAAAAAGTTCTCTTCCGGGAAAACCGCTTTAGCTCAGTATCGTTTAACCTTCCCCCAGCCCCATCCCCATCCCCTTCGAGACCCGCACCAAATTGCCCCCACGGTTGGGGATACACCCCTCGAAACCCGAAGGGAACGGCCTGTATCCCCATCTAGGGGGGCAAGTCGGCCAGGGGGGCCCAGGCCACGCCGCAGGGGATGGGGATCGGTTAGACGATACCCATTAGCAGCCACGGATTTGCCGGCCCTCGCCCAGCTTCCGAACTTGTCCCCGCCAGCGGCCTCGGCCCCCGCCGCCCCCTCGCCGTGCACGCCGCGGGCCGCGGCCGCCGGGGCCAGGAGCCCGCACGCAACATGCACGAGGGCTCCGTGGAGTGCCCCGCCGCGCCGCCCGCCGCCCGCGGGGGAGCGGGGCGCTGGGATCGGTGGTTCGTGGACCAGGCCATCGCAAACATGGATCAAGGGGGCGTGGATTAGCGACGTGTCCCGTTTCCAGGGGAGGTCGCGGATTTCCGCCGCCGAGCGAGGCGGCACCGGCCGCATTTTGGGGAGGGCACCTCCCCCGATCCATGGATTTGGCGACCGCGTATCAAGTCCATGGATTAGCGTCCTCCTCCCTCCGCCTCCTCCTCCTCTTCCTCCTCCATCTTCCCCTCCTCTTCCTCCATCTCCCCCTCCCCCTCCACCTCCTCCATCTTCCCCTCCCCCTCCTCCGCCTCCTCCGCCTCCTCCTCCTCCTTCTCCTCGGGTCGCCAGACCCAGGACTTGCAGGCACACTTACTGAACTTGGGTTGGTATGATACTGTACACCGCACTTGCTGATGGAGTCATCCTTCTCCAGTTGCATTTTGCCTGAACAAGGGCGGGGATGGCACATCATCTTCGTCTGCTGGGGTGGAACCCTCAATCGTGCACTTGTGAGAGACTTTCGGATGTGGTGGTTGAGACATCAACTTTTGACTTGGTCTTTCTGGCAGGTACGCAGGCAGTAGGAAAGAGGCAGCAGAGAGTTCAGAGTGTTGTGACGAAGCGGCATGTACTAGGGCAGTGCGTCTTGGAAACCCCGTTCGGCCCATCTACTCCTCTCAGCAATCCCTCGGCGGGCTGCTCGATCATATTGAGAAAAGAGTTGCAGGAACGACACGTGATGCAGGTTTGGCCCTTACCGTCTGAGCTGAAAGGTCGTTGCCTGGCAGCACGAGTGAAGAGGGGCCGCCTCGATCTGTTCGCAGTGTGCTTGTATTTCCCACCGAAGCCATCTCGCTTGCAGCACCGCGCGCAATAGTTTCGCACGGTCGAGCTCCTTTACGCATGGTTTCGTGAAGTGCTGGCGTATGTTCCTGTTCGCACCACTCCAGTTATAGATTGCGACGCCAGCGACAGCATTGGCGTGACTGTGGGGGGGAGCCCGATCGAGACGAAGGTCGTGCAGGCCCCATCTCACGAGCGCCTCCGCCGCGGTGCAGGCGGATCCCTTCGCGAAGCTCTCGAACCTCATGAGATGTTGGCATATAACGCAACAGGCACGCAGGTCATCCCGACCTTCTACAGCATGCACGGTTCCAGGCCTCGTATTGATTATCTGTTGTTGCCCGCTGGCATGGAAGATCATATTGTACAGTGCGGCGTGATACGTCGTCTCGGTGCCCGTCTACAAGCTTATGCTGCTCCGAGTCCCAGAGACCATCGACCGATTGGTTGTACTCTGCTGCATGCGAACCATGTGATCGGGCCCTCGGAGGCCCAAGAACGACTGTGCTGGGACAGGGATCGTATGATGGATGCTATGCTGAGGGGCCCAGGGCGAGCGGAGTTTCTTGCTGGCGTTCAACAGTAGCTCGACGCCCTGGGCACCTACGCTCATATGCGTGATTTTTCTTCTCCTGATGTGATCTTTGAGGCTCTGGAAACGGCATTGGTTGCGGCTGATCAGGAACAGTTTGGCCGCCACCACGCTCGAGACCCTCAGGGGCAGTCAGATTGTGAACGACGTGGGCTTCTCCTGCGTGCGCGGGCAGACTTGCGCGAGAAAAAGATGTCGGTATCGGGGGGGGGGAGCGCGTTGACGTTGAGCTGATAAGGATCCCCCAAGAACAACGACTTCAGCGACGACGTGAACTACGCGCCACTCGGGCACAGCTGGCGGCAGAGGCATCCGAATTATGGAACAAGTATCGACCGTCGGAAGCCATGCGCTTGACAATGAGAGCGGCACTGACACGTATTGGACCAAAGAAGAGGGATGGCATGTTGGTTCGCAGCGCACCCCCTACGGCTCGCGCCTGGTTTGATGTCTGGGAACGCGAAGGAGCAGCAGGCGGCGCGTCTGTTCTTCAGCAGGACTGGGCCGAATGGAGGGAAGATCGTGGCGCTAATTCTTTCTACTGGCTGCCGCAGGACGACATATTTGAGATAGTAGAGGCTGGTGCAAAGAGAGTGATCAACTGGCTCCGCCGCGCTGCCATGCGCCGCGCTGCCCCCTCGTTCACGGCCCCACTGGAACATTGGCACGTGATGTTCATGCCGTGGCGGACGTCCAAACAACGACGATCAGGTCTTGGATTTGAAGGTTATCAGCCTGCCACAGAAGGTTTCAGTGTTTGTTGGTTTCGGTAGGTTTTTCCAAGATACGACGCACGACATTACGCCACTATACTGGCATCGCACAGACGGTGCTGGACTTCGCAAGTCAGATCAACCAGGCCCTCGTGGCCGCTGAGTAGTTCATGTCATGCCGGCGGTGGGCAAGGGGTTTCACGCTACTCTAGTGAGACCATCGCCGATGGTGAACGATCATGGTTATTTGCGACATCGACGTCGTGAGGGCGCGGTTCTGGGAGATTTGTCACGTTGTAGAGGCCGCGGGCTCGCGGCTTGACACGCGCGACGGCGTCGAAGGACATGTCCAACGCTTTCGGCAGCGCCGACTGGGGCCAGCTCGATTTCACAGTGCAGCTTCGCGCGCGCGAGGAGGATCGAGTCCTCTGCCAGCAGAGATATCAGAACGCAGTCGTTTCCTTGGAGGCATTTGAGGGCCCCCGGGTAGTTCGTCCTAGACAGGGGAACACGATGGGGGGCCCATTCGCTGTCCGAGCTTTTCGTGGAACTTCTGCGCGTCCGATCTTGTTGCGGAGGTGCGGCGAGCAGTCGGCTGATCCTCGCGCCCCTCATGCCGACAGCGCAATGGCATGAGATGAGCTGATTTGAGTACGTTCAAGTTTGCCGATGACATCAACAGTTTTGCGCTTGCGGAACCAGAGCAGACACTATAGCTGATTCCACGGCCAAGATATCTGATGTTGGTGCAAGGCTCGACCAGCGCCTGGCAGAGTTTGGGCAGGCACCCCGGCCCCTACCTGAGCATCGGTGCCTCGGCTCGACCGGAGATTTCCAGGAGGGGTAGTGCGGCGATGTCCGCGTTCTGCTCCTTGGGCAGGGCGCGGTGTCTGGGGATCACGAAGTGCTGGAAGCGGAGCCTTTTTTTCGTCGGGTTCGTCCAGGATGCGTTGCTCAGCGGGCTTGAAAGTTTCGCAGTGACAGAGGCGGGCACGGACATCTTGCATCGTTGTCTTGCGGGTCTTGGGCGCGTAGCAACGTTGGGGAAGGCAAGGTCTTGGGCAGGGCCCCACGTGACCACGATCGCGAATGAGAAGGTCTTGGAGCACTGGAAGATGGCCCCCCTTTCGCTGGCGCTTTTAAGTCGAAAGGTGAAGCTGCGCCAGGCATGGGGTGCTCGCCCGCAAGAACATCAACATGCATTGTGCGCGCTGTTCGGCACCTCCCCAATTGCAGGAGTCGTTTCCGCCACCTCGGCGTGGGGGGCCGACCGAGCACGCGTCGCCATGGACAAAATAGGTGACCGCTGACTTTGACAAAGTAGCGCCCTTGTTGCCATGCGAAGTGATTCGAATGATTGCGGGCAACCTCAATTTGCTGCAGGACCCCGACATCCCAGAGGCTTTTCAGAAGGTCGACGTGACGGAGGTTCGGAGCCAGCAGCTCGCGGTTTGCATCCCCCCCTGAGTTTGGAGCTCCTGTGGGCCCTGCGCATTATGGGCCTGGGCACGTGGATATGGAGCGCCCCTACGGATGCTTGATGGACCTCGACGGGGACCCCTGTAGAACCGCATTTTGCACGCGCGAAGGTCTCTGGGGGGCACCTTCGGCACTGTCGCAATCTGCAAAGCCTGGCACATGTACTTACTCCGGCTAATGTATGTATCCACTGTTTGCAGCTATCCAGTGCGACCACCACGGCAGCGCGTCGCCATCTTCGGGCTATCCAGAGGGGCTCGTGTATTACGTGTGGGCCCCGCTCCTTCTCGTCTATGACATTACCAGCCTCCTTCGAGTGCCCGACTGTGGACTGTGAGTTCGCGGGGGAGGATATTCTTTCGTTGTGTCGCCATCTCCAAGACCATTTACTTGCAAAGATCGAACTTTTCATTCGTGCCGACGTATCGCAAGATGCCCAAGGATTCTCCAATGTCGGCAAGTGTTGCCCCTCGCCCTGCCTGGCGCAGCGGAGTCGCCGCGCCGGCCAAATCCGCCGCGCCGCCACCAGACAGGAAGACGCAATCAGCTGCCAGCGCCAAGGGCCAGAAAATCAAAGACGGCAGAATCATCGCAGCCATCTGCAAGCTCGCGTTATCGAACGCCCGCGAGCCCGCCGACCTTCGGTGCGAGATGGGCGCAGGTCAAGGCACGATCGCAGCCGCAGCCGCGGCAGGGAAGCAGCGCGGCGAAGAGAGCCAGGAGCTTCGCAAGAAGGGCGAGTCGGGAGTGGTAGTAAACGACAAAGCTCGGGCCCCCCACACCTTCCGGTGTTCATGGCGGCGATGGAGCAAGGGCCTCCAAGAGCATAGCAGAAGAAGCGGGCCAGCCCAAGCAGCAGCGCGCGGAGAAGGTGAAGCGAGAGATGAGGGAGTTCTGGGGCGAGAAGCTCAGCAAGGCCGAGCTTTCGGAGGTGGCGAGGGCAGCGCCGCACTCCCGCGCCCGCCTTCATCGCGAGGAGCAGGGGAAGAAGAGGACGTGCGCAGTTAGTTTCGCACGGACCTGAATGCGCAGATGGGCCCAGCGGCGGGCCCGATGATAGAGACTCCCGCGGCAGTGGGGGGGGGGGCATTCCTTTCAGGCGCGGCCCCTCGCGGGCCTTTGGAAAAGGGGATCCCGAAGTACCTGGATCGCAACAAGTGGTGAGCGGAGTGAGGCCTAGAGGCAGTGAGGGTCAGGCTGAATGGTCTCGTGGGAGTTCTAGAGTCGCTGAGCTGATTTCCTCGGGTAGAGTTTCTCGCGCGCAGGTTGAAAAGGGCCATCAGCCGGCCCATTGTTTCCGAGGAGCACCTTGTTGCTTTGGCGGTGCCTGAGGCATCAACAGCACTTGTCGCAGTCTGAAGCAAAGCAGAGGCAGACACTCTGGGCGGGGGGGCGAGCTTGGGCGGGCGGGTGAAATGCAGAGGTCGTCGTGCCTAGGCGTGCGGGCCCCCTTTTCTGAGGGTCGTGCCCATATGGGGTGCTCGCCAGGCCAGTGCAGTTCGGGCTGCGAGCGATGTTTCGGCTCGCGTCGTAAATTGCTTGGTTCCGAAGGAATTTTCTCATAGTACAGTTTGAATCAACGAGATAGTTGTGCCCGCGTTCAGAGGGCCCCATGAGATTCTGCTCTGCTCTGCCCCTCGGGTCGCATACGGCCCCTTGGGAAACCGTGCAAGGGAGGGCCCCCCCCCAAGGTGGGGCCGTGGGCCCGCTGAGGCCCAGGGCGGCCAGAACGGAAGAGATGGTGCGGTTCGCCCACCCCCGCTCTGCCCTAGGCCCGATGGGTGCTCCCGAGGCCGTTCGGAGCGATGTTCTTTCCAACCCCACCGTCGCCCCCTCCCCCAGTTCAGCGCCCCCCCCCCTCCCCCGCAAACCGCGCCAACCTGATTTCCCGGGGGTCCGCGCAGATTTGTTAGATTGGCGCGGACCTCCAAGAGAGTATGCTTGTGCAGTATGTGTTGTGCTCCTCTGCGCCCCGCGGAGTGTTCCCCGTGGTGCTACGATCTCCTCATCCTGGAAAGCCGTGGCTCCGTTGTCCAGCTTCCCCCCCTCTTATTTAGATGCCTCGCGTATCCCCACCATCCCATCCAGAAATGATGCCCATTCGAATTACCCTGATCAGGGATGTGGAGGTGGAGCAACGGACTGGTGAAGCCGTCACACCCTAAAGGGGGGAGGATGGAGGAAACATCCGAGGAGGAGGAGGAGGAGGAGGAGGAGGAGGAGGAGGAGAAGGATGAGAAGGACGACGAAAAAGGGAGGGGGAGGAGCAGGAGGAGGGAGGAGGGAGGAGGAGGTAGAATAGGAAGGGGAGGAGGATCAGTGTGAGCCCAAGGCCCACCAACGATGTTGCAATAAACGTTCCCTCCAGGTTCCCTCCTGGAAGTGCCCCGTTGGAGCACAACCAGCTGAGAACCCGCAGTCGGGCCAAAGCACCATCCTCGGTCTTCAATGCCGCGAATCAGCTTCACGGTTGCGTCCTGACGGTCGTGCATCGTGCCATGATGTTATTCGTGGGGCTTCAGCGTTGCGAGTCAATGTGTTTGTTGCGCCTTGTCAGAGTGGAAACCTGGCAAAATGTTTAAGGCGAGTGTGCGCGGCGCTAACACGAGAGCCACATGTTGAAAAGGAACGGTCGTCCATCCGCGAAACGTGCGCAAACGTTTAACACGATACGCGTGGCGCTAAGGAGAGTCCACATGTTGAACACCACCCGCCCTCCATCCGTGAAGCGCACGCGAACTTCCAAGACGAATGTGCGCGGCTCCAAGGCGAGCAACACCTTCTGAAAACCACTCGCCCACCATCCGTGACATTCTTGCGAACGTTTAAAAACGGAGGCGCGTGGCGTCGTGGCGGGAGCCACATTTGGAGAACCACCCAGCCTCCATCCGTGAAGCGCTTGCGAACTCTTAATCCGAACGTACGCGGTGCCAAGGCGAGAACCACATGTTGAGAAGGAAACGCCCTCCACACGTGGAAACTTGGCAGCCGTTTAAGACTAGTGCGCGCCGCGTTGAGGCGAGAGCCACATTTTGAACAGGAACCGCCCTCTATGTGTGACATTCTAGGCGATGCGCGTAACCCCACCAGCCCATCCAGAAACGATGCCCAGGCGAAGTGCCCTGATCAGGGACGTGGAGGAGCACGCAGTGGAATGAAGGACTCGGTCGGGAAGCCGCCGTACCCCAAGAGGGGGAGGATTGATGATAAGGAGGAGGAGGAGAAGGAGGAGGAGGAGGAGGAGGGGGAGGGGGAGGGGGAGGGGGAGTGGGAGGGGGAGTGGGAGGGGGAGGAGGGGGGGAGGGATGAGGAGGCACAGGGTGATGATGAAGAGGAAGAGGAGGGGGGCGAGCAGAAAGGCCAGAGGCCTCTTGGATGTCTCTCGGGTTCCCATCGGTCGTCTGGGGGATCTCTCGGCGGTCTGAGGGGTTTCGTGGAGCGTCTTGGGTGTCTCGGAAGAGACTCGAAGGTCGTCTCTCGGGAGGGCCTCTCGGCTTCTGTTGGGAGCATCTTGGGGACCGCTTGGGGGCCTCCATTCTTGGGGCACTCTTGGGAGCCTTGGGGGCCATCTACGAAGAAGGAGGGGGGGGGCGTAATTACGTCCCCCTCCCCCAA